TTAGGTTAATTTAAAAAGGGAGAGGACCAACCCCGGGAGGCGCTAAAACGGGAATTTTGAGATTTATGATGGAAATATTTGTTTATAAATGGTTGCCATGGGTTTTCAATAATAATAATAATAATAATAATAAAAAAAATATATATTTAATTTACTTTTTAAATATCAATTATAATAATATAATATCGCGTTTATAATATTAGAAGGATAAATTAATGTTTGTGGGTAGTTTAGACCTCTGTTAAGAAGATAGGTTAATTTACAAAGGGTTAAATTTGTTTTTTTTTATTCATCAGATTTTAGTATTATACTAGGTTAGGATAGGATTGATTATATTAATCCACCATAGGTGGAATTAAGTAAAAACGATAAGCTTGGTATAACTTTGGTCTTTGATACTCTAGAGTTAAATCATACACTTACGTACAAACAGCACGGGGTCCGCGATCTATCGCAGGTAGATTGCCTATCTGATAATGTACTGCTGCGAATCAGAATTTTTATTCGGGGCAACGGAAAAGTTATGATAAATTTTGAACACCATACACCGAATATTAAAAAACGAATTGAACAAATTTTGAGTCATATAGAATAAAACTACTGACAAATTACGAAAAACCTCTTAAAATGGGATTTTAATTTCTATTGATTTGTTTATCATCGTAGCAACGAATAAAAATTCTAATATTTTAATATTAATTCAACTTAAAGGCTATAATAAATAATAAACATTTTAAAACACCAGACTGATAAACCGTCTCCGCTCAAAATCGTTTTACTTATACAATGATATTATATCATTGAATTCACGTTTAATTGCAATCCATTATACATTGACCCACTTGTAACCTACTGTACAGCAGAACGACAACCACTTACCCGCTTTTTACAAATTTATAAAAAAAAAATTGTTATTATTTATGATTGGATAATTAGGTAGATAAAATTTTAAAATTTTAACCTACAATTCTGTCGCATATTTTTTACCAGCATGATAATCTATACCTATAATATAATATAATCCAATGTATCCTAACTGACTCACTTTTAAAAATTTAACTGATTCACTTTTGATAAAAATAAATTAATTTGAAATTTTCACGAAATATTTCAAGGGTCTATACGATTAATATATTTTGAATTACAACAAAACATTTTTGAAAAGATCGTTGGTTGAGTTGTTGTCAAGATTTGAACTTTAAACCCTCATAAAAATTACCTGTGGCTTTAGGCATTACATTTTTGTTTTTAATTCCACTAAGAACCACATATTATGAAGATTACTGTATTCAATTTTCAAAGTTTCAAGAATTGATCTACTATCCAAAATCAAAATACACCCAATTCACTAACAGAAACCACCTCCAATATTTAAGATTGCAGTTTTTTACTGCTGTTAAAGATGACGTAAAAACACGTAATATTGTAATAAATGATTACCTATGTAAAATCAATCGATTCGCTCAAAATCTAATAAAGTAAAAGAATATATTGACTGTAGTACACTAGTACCAATCATTAATGTACTATGGGTACCTGTGTCCTGTATTCCAACTTCGTATATAATTATTTTAGAAGATACACACATTTAAAATTTTAAATGTTATAAAGTATAGGTAATAGCTACTAATAGGTACATAACAAACCTGTATAGTACTCAGTTTAATTATTTTTATCATTTACTTATTTACTTTTTTTTTATATTCTAAGCGAAGCGATATATTTATTTTACTTAACTCTATGATATGGTTCGTCGATAGAATATGTATTTATTGGTTTTCAATAACAAATATACCCAATTATTATTTATTAAATATTCTTATTTTGCATTTCATAAAAGCTTTGTAATTTGGAACAATATTGGTACATATTCTACAATATTGAAGTCCAAAGACCGATTATATTATTTACCATCAAAAAAATATTTCAAATCTTTATTCAGAAGCAATGGTATTGCATAGAAAATCTGGTTTAAATTATATTAAAGAAATGTATACATTTAGTCTTTTCAAATTATTGAATCCTAACAATTAACAAATAATATTATAGAATATATTCAACTCATACAGGTACCGTAACATCATTAACTCATTATAAAATATTATTAATTTTTTTTCTCTCTCTCCCTCAGTTTGTAACATGTATACACTACACGACAGCCTAACAATTATATTATGTAATTTCAAATTATAATTTAATAATTAGACTTAATTTATTTTGATTGTTGAGATGTAGTAGTTTTAAACGGGAAACTATTTAGTAAAAAAAAAAAAAAAAACATACTATTTATTTTTTGTTATTAGTAATATAGACTATTATACTGAAGCGATAAACAAGTAAGTAACATAACTTGTGCATTTTCAAGAACCGATAATTATTGACGATAACAATATAACAACATGCTGGTATACCTAGTATTGTTTATAATTTATATACAATATTATATTGCATATTATTTATTGATAACATAAATCTTACAATCCTAGTAATATAACCAAGTAAACAGTTATTTGATACGTTGTTTGTAATGTATTTATATTTTATCTATTTTACATTTTAACGTTTTAAAATTCTAAACAGGGAATCTTACTAGCTGCCTTAAGATTATTTACAATGATGTACAATAAGAATATGCTTTTTACTTCTGTGAACACTTTGGGACTGTAAAATTCAAAATATTTCTTGTAAAACTTCTCTAGAATGAAAATGAATACATATGATATTAAAAAGATATTGTTTTAATTTACTGAAACTTTTTGGAAAAAATGAATAAACCATTATAAAATAAATTTTCAAAAAATATTTTACCAATTTTGTTTGAATCTGTTTATAGTTACCTCTATTACTGGTAATTGGTTTTCTGCCAAAATTATTTCAACTCAATATCATCGTTTTAAATTTAAAAACAACCACCTCACTCAAGATATATTGTTATTCATTTTCATTGATCCAATGTTTAAACGTTTAGATAAAAAATACATTTTGTAAGACATAATATTATATAAATATATAATATAATAATATTATGTTGTATAGGTACCTACCTATATATTATATTTTGTTTGGTTTAAACTTTTAAATTAAGTTATTAGTGTAATAAACAGTACTTTAATTTTACATAGATCTGAAGTAAGTAAATTCAAACCAGCTATTATCTATTTTTAGTATTTTGCTATTTGAGCTTTCGCAAAAAAAAATACTGAAATAGCCTATACGAAGCGCCTGGTTATAGCATAATTTGTATTAAAAGCCTGCATAACATAATAATGTACCTAAGGCATGAGTCTAATTTATACAGAAGTTTAATTTTTTTTATAGTTGTAACAACATATTTATAGCGTGTTTTATGATCACTAAAACTAAAAAAATTAGGCAAAAGTAAACACATAGGTAAAAGTTTTCTTTTTTAAAACTTAAAATTTATCATTTTTATAAACTCAACATATTATACTAACAAATTACAATGTATGAAATACCTATTCCAAAAAATACGATTAAAAGAGGCATAATATTTTTATGCTAAAATTAGTACCTACGATTAATGTTATCCAATTGTATTTTTGATATATTTTTTTTTACCTGCCAATATATATATATATATATATATATATCAGTCGTCTAAGATAAAGAAAACATCGGCTTCAAGCACCGGGTATGATTCATTTAACGTAAGACAGTCATTATTTCAATAACTATTAAAGTTTTTGAAAATATGTTTTTCACATATAAGTTCCTTATTAAAAAAAAACAATTTTTTTAGATTTGGCCACCACATGCATTATTTATTTATTCTAAACAGAATATTTTTTGAAGTATGTACATTATACATGAAAATCTAATTTCGAACAGGTAGATCTACAAGTATTCAAAGTTTTGATAAGTGGAGTGAAGTAATACGCTGCAAAATGTTGGTCCACTACTCCACTTATCTTAACTTTAAATAGGTACCTAATATTATAACTAATAAACTACTTGTATACAATTTGATTTAAATAAATCAAAACACTCTTAACAATATTCTGCTTCGAAATATGAGATTAAAAATGTATCTTGCCATTCAAAAGAATTTTAAAAAATATTGTCATAAACGACTTATTTAATTATGTAATAGAAACATCTTATTAGTCTTCTGAAATAAAAAGCGTCTTATGTTAAACGAATCACTCCGTATATGCGAGTATAGCTGGACCGCTACTAGGTATAATAAATAATAATTAAAATTTTAATTTACGATAATAATTGTCTATACCTATAATATATCATATAGTCGAAGTTTTAAATATTATTACTCGGCGACCCGATGGTAGATATATATTATTAGTAACAAATTAAAATACATTATTAAATACAGGTATTACGCTATAGGTACGCGCCCGAGATTGATTAAATGGCGTATTGATTATTTTTTATGAATTGTGCTGGGATAGAAAGAAAATAGGTTATAGGTACATCGAAAACGGCATATATACATTAATTGCATTATCTTAAACAAATTGATATATTATAGACTTGAATATTTTAGTTTTATCATTATAGGTATTAGGTAGGTAGGTATATGAGTATAGTTAATATTATTACATATTATACATGTAAATTGTCAACGGAGCCAATACAAGTATGATGTGGACGTGAAGAGATTCGTTCGTTAGTATAGGTAGGATTGTTTGTCTATAGGCGATATGGTCGAAGCAAAATAAAAAAAAACAAAAGTCAACATTATATTGTAATCAGTAATCTAAATTGTATATTTAGGTTTACTAGAGCGTACGCAATGGTATCAGCTTAGTGAATCCTATTATAACCAACGCTTGGGTGTTATTCTATTACACCTGCAAAGGGTCAGCGCCGTGTAAATAATAGTGAAATAAAAAAACAGTATACTTTAACCCTCAGTGTCAGCTGTATGTTATGTAACTACTCAATGTGTAAGCTATCTGTATGTGTTATGATTGTTGTTTGGTGTCGAACGAGTCAAAACATATTCAGCCATTCAAAATGATATGGGTGAGTAGTATGTAATGTAGAATTTAGAATTTAGAACTCATCGTACATAGAAACACACTCTACTTGTATAAAAAAAAAAATCACAAGACGTTCCTCTACCTATACAATATAATGAGTATGTCATGTGGTATTCACAGTTTTATTAAAAAAATAGTTATATTATATTATTACCGGTTAGTGTACCCACTTTTAAATGCATATAAAATGTGTGTGTGTGTGTGTGTGTGTGTGTGTGTGTGTGTGTGTGTGTGTGTGTGCGTGCAACATAGGCTCTATAGCTGGTGGTATACGCGTACCCATGTCTTGAATTTTTTTAAGTCTATACCTATAGCTAATTCTTTGTTTCTATCAAAACAAGGATATTTATCCTTAGTGATGGACGTTGGCAGTATAATCCCAAAATATATAATTAACTTTCTTTGTAAATATGAATACTGCCAAATAAAATACATAGTTTTCGTTCTAAACACCCATTTAGAATACCTACCCGATAAAACAACGTAATACAATTAATAAGAACATAGTAGTTATTGAGAAATGATAAGAGTAAAATTCAAATTATACATTTTATAACAACAAAAAATAAACACTTTTCCGTTCAAGTTAGATACATCTCTCATACATACTATCCCATATAATTTGATTTTCTACAAGTCATTAAAATAAAGGATGTGACCTGCAGAAGTATGTATATAATATATAATATAATAAGCTCCATCTTTATTTCACATAATTTTATATTATTATTGACGATTTTATTATAATTTAAATAACCAATAACCGGTAACCGCTTTCATTTACGTTGTAGTAAAGTACTATATTATCATACCGGTATGGCTATACATATTATACATCAGCAGCAGTCGCCGTAACGATTTTTAATTATTCTACTTAAACCCGTCGCTGTATAGTAGTCGCATAGGTTTAAATGTCAATTTTTAAAACATTGGATTATTTTTTAAATAACATTCTCAGACTATATTTGATTAGATTAGATTGCATTATTGAAATATAAAACTATTAAACTATGAGTAAGAGCAATTTAAATTAACTTGTATTACTTTGGGTCATCCGGGTCATCCACGTTATTGGGTATTTTTTACTCAATGAGAGTTAAGTAAGTACCTTATACCTTACTAAGAGCGCTAAATTCGTGCTTTATCAGGGCAACCTGGCAAAGTAATTGTCATAATAGGACAGTGCCCAATTGATCACGATGTACCTTTTTAACAACAAAATTCACAGATACACCGTTGAACACAGAAGTAGTTAACGATAGAAATCCTAAAAATATCAATAAACGACATGATTGAGCACGAAACTCTATGCAATGTTGCCAATTTTCCACATCACAAAAACTACAAAATTATACACACTCATAATTTTTCTTAGTTTACCTATAACTTATAAGTATACCTAACAATAGTTCATTCCGATTTAAAAAAATCTTTATGACTAACAATTTTGACGATACTAGTACGATTTTTTTCGAATCCAGAATAAATCATAGCTGTATACGCGTTTGTTTTTCTTAGAACTTAAAAGTGATAATGTTGTATGATGCTTTTTAGTGCTCAATAGGGACGTCATAAAAATGGTCTGCTGAGATAATAGCTGTGCTCAATAGAGTATCATCGGTAAATAGAGCCATAGGGCTCTAATATTTTGTAGAATTACACACTAAGTTAGACGAAAATTTAGAGACCTGACCATTAAAATACTATTCGAATACCTTCTGCTTCGAAACTTAATTTCCTATTATATATTTATGATGTGATGGAAGTCTTAAGTATTTTTAAGAATATAATATGTTACCACGTCCCCTGTATCTATTTCTCTAAATAAAATCATTAGTAATAATCTACTACGATAAAATATAAAATAGGTACTTACTATTACTATAAATATATATCTTACTTACACTATATTATACGATCCTTAAGTGTATTCCAATTAAACTTATTTACAACTTAAAACAAATAACAATTAACTAATTAATTAATTAGTTAATTAGTTTTTTGAAATAATATTATATCCGTTACCATGGCACTGGACAAGTATATTATATATACATGATATACTGCGAGTTATCGTTGTACAATATGTAAATTTATTTAAACGCAGCTGATGGCAGTGCCTTTAGGAACGTTCGATGTGCACGTTATGGTTTTATAATATTGTTATGCGAATATTTTTACACTGTACAGGCCGGAAAATAATAATTATATACATTTACTAAATTTTGGTTTCATTTTTTTTTTTTACAGCGAGTCTAATGACAAATTTGTTTTTTCTGTACGGGATTTATGTTCTTCTTATTATCGGTCAGACCGCATTGAGCTCACAGTAAGTAAATAATACCTATTTAACTATACAGGCTATGATACTCTCGAATAACCGTGTCCCAACTCCAAAGTCTAATATACAAGTAGGACTATTATAATAATTAATAATATATAAATACAGATAGTTGACGTAGCTGATTATTTGTTCACCAATACTAATTCAAAACCGTACATGCATGTACAGTTATTGTACAATGTAACTTAATGACAATTATAGCATATCGTTTAACTAATAATACCAAGCCGATCTTATTACAATTTAAGTACTTACCGTTACCATCTTACTGTATGTCACGATGATAATTTTAAATTGTCATAAAATAACATAAACACTAAAACATTCTTGCACTTACGTATACAATTAAAATTTTAAACATAATATTCTAGAATAAAAATAGAAACGAAAACCTAACTAGTAAAAAGAGTTACATAAAAATAAAATAAGATAATATTTTTCCTAACAATTTTTTACGGCAACGATAGACTATTTATAGATATTAAATTTCAACAAATTGAATTACTGCAAAATTGCTTGAAACAGTTGAAACATAAGAATTGTAAAAAGTATAATACTAACATAAATTATTTCAAAATATATTAGTTAGTAAGTTAGTTGTTTATAGTAGTTTATTGTTGGTTCTCACTTCTCTGTAACAAATTATGAAGTAGAAAAAGATCATAATTTGACGATGCCCTAATATTAATTTTGATAAAATGTTATATAGCTCGTTCTACACGACGTAGTAGTAAATACTAAAATAATATGAAATATCAATTATTTTTTTTTAAAGTGAAATATTTATAACTTTTTAGTCTTTTCAGAATAAACATACTCTTTGTAGTGACGAATTTTTTATGTACAAAAGTTTGTTTAATACAAATTTATTATTTTTAAGTTTCAACATTTGATGACAATTTAAAAATACATTAAACACAATATGATGGGATACACTAATTGTAGGGCTGTTATAAAACATACCATCAGTATACCATTGATATAATGAACATTTATGTTATGCTTATGGTTTCACAGAAATTGAAGTACTATTTGAAAATTCCAGACAAAAAATTTAAAAAGTTTCAATGATCATAGATGGCAATTTATAAATGTGCATTTTGAGCATACTCATCACTTGAGCAGAATTTATGTGTCATAATATTACTACCGATATAATATATGATATTGGTAGTAATAAATGAACTATGTGTATATATTTCAGTGTCTTGCGAATTGAAGTGTTTAATTTGGTAATCATAATTTAAATAACTAATATTTAAATAATACACACGTCATATAAAACTCGTTTAGCTGTTTATATAATATAATAGCACAGGTACTAAAGTCACATTATAGCGTTTATTAGTAGCAATAAATGTATAGGTATATATAACTAAATAATATATTTACTGATTGACGTGTCAGTGAAATAAAATCAAATTATATCCGTCAATATTCTGAATGTTTTATATTGTGGACATTGAGATTAAGCGGCTTTTGTCATTTTTCGGATGTTTATAAGCCCCTTTCCTCTAGGTTAATTTTCATATTTCAAAGCTTATAAGATTATAAGGACACGACAATAGGTATTATGTTAGTTTTTAGTGGATTTCAATAAAAAAAAAAATGATGATTAAACGGCGTTATGAGTAGGCATTCCATGTACAACAACTTACGCGAGTAGGTGTTCTCAATACTTTATACACACTTATAATTATAATATGTATAATGTATATGTTAAATGACTGTTGTTATGAGTATAATTAAGTTAAAATTAGTGTATAATGACATGCCAAAAACAATAGAATTCAATTAACAGTAATTGAAAATGAAGTAATAACCAATACCTTAGGTTTATATCCCTACTTTCCGAGCAAAATTGTAATTTATTTAATTAGACATTTATGAATAGACAATTATTATTTAAAAAACAGTTTTATGGAAACGAATGCAATACTGAATATTTTAATCATCAACTCCCGTTCGTAATAGCTCCTATATACAATTGCTTCAAACCTCATTTGGCCGCACTTCATTTGGCGTCACCTTCGCTCTTGTATCGCATAATTATTATTATTATATTTTGTACTATCACCGTCTATTAATTGCCCGTGGAGTGTTTTTAGACCGACCGCACTATACAGACGCCTGCTCACCCAACTCCAAACGACCTAACCATGTCGCCCTGGCTATAAAAAAAAATGTACACTCAAATCGAGGTGCGCCGGAGTTAATATATTATTAGGTATAAAATAATATATTTACAACGGTTTACTTTCACATTAGTGTGTAAGTATACCCCGTTATACTCCGTGTATTAGTGACATTTTGAGAAATAACAAAAATGGAAGTCCGTGTGATGTAAACAGTAACGAACTCATGTATACACGATTATAGTTATAGACTATAGTATATAGGTATGACCATAAGTGGCAGATTTAACTATACATCTATACATAAATATTTCCTGCATACAAATAATCAAGAACTAATCAATAATGACTTTTAAATTATAATTACATTATTATACTACTATTTATATTAGACTTGAAATACCTGATCATTGGGAGTCAGGACAATTGTAAAAATTTAAGACTTTAGTCTTTTTAGCTTTTATTAATATAAAATATTAAACAATAACCTTCATAAACAATATGTTTAATAGGTATATTAGTAATATATAGCACTAGAAATTAATAACATTCTAGGTACTTATTCGTTAGTTCTATTTTATAATTTATAATGTTTTATTAAAATTGTTAGCCATGATCCATCCATTGCTTCCTCGCATATCCAAGAACACCTATCCCTCCTCGAAAAATGGTATAAGGAGTGGGGTGTGAAAATAAACGAATCTAAATCTATACAATGTACCTTCACTCTTAGGAAGGGAATATGCCCATCTATTACCTTAAATGAGCAAATCTTGCCAACCGCGCAGAGCACTCGCTATCTAGGCATAATCATTGATCAACGCCTCACATGGTCTCCTCATCTTCGCAGCAAACTGCTATCCTTAAACAATCGATTTCGTCTTCTCCGCTCTCTCCTAACCTCCAAACACATAAAACTACCAACCAAGCTTCTAATATATAAACTTTATCTTAAACCAATGTGGACGTACGGAATTCAATTATGGGGCTCTGCAAAAATTTCAAACACTAACCGTATCCAACGCTTCCAATCCAAAACGCTCCGAGCCATAACTAAAGCACCATTCTACGTGTCCAACCAGACCTTACATAACGATCTTGCCATCTCACCCGTCTGTGATGTAGCTAGAACTTTTTATAGACGATTTAACTTATCTGTTAAAAACCATGATAATCCCCTAATTAAAGGACTTGCGTCGGCAAACATACCCGATAATCCTAGGAAAAGACTAAAAAGGCGGTGGTGTCGGGACCTATTAATTTAGTTAATTACCTAATCTTTTTCTATTTATAAATAATTGTTAACTTATTTAAATGTATATAAACAGCTGACAAAGTGTCTTCACTGGAAGGTTTCTTAAATCCGTCCTTTCCTCAAGCCACTTATTCATTCAATTATCTATTTTACTTATTGTTCATATTTTTATTGTAACAGATTGTAAATAAAAATTATAAAAATAAAAAAAAAAAAAAAAAAAATTAAAATTGTTAATTCAAATCAATTTTTTTATACAAAGTTTTATGTTTGAATTCAAATCACTGAATGACAATGCCTAATATTATTAAGCAATAAGCGCAATATCCTTATCAGCTGTAAGAAATAAACCAATGATAATAATATAGTATCAACATTTAACTAGATTGGGGTGACTTTGATAAATTTTGTTGATTTTGTTTGTTATTTTACGCATACTTTTTTTTAATACTTATGCTACAGATCTCAAAATAATTCCGTTGCATAAAGTACTACTTAAAGAACATTCTTGAATTTTTTTTTTCACCGGCAGTTTTTTTTAAATTTTTTCAAAGTAGCTATCAAAGACAGACGGAATTCGGGGCGACTTTGATACCCTCTTTTTTTATGTTAAACTTATGGTAATGTTATGAAAGTTATAAATCTCAAACCATTTTAAATTTGGTCAAATAGTTTTTGAGTTATAACATAAAACTTATTATGGGGTGACATTGATATCATTATATCAATAGTTACTTTATTTGTATAAATACAAAAAAAATAAAACATAAATTAGGTGGATAATAATTTATTAAGTTGACTAACTCAGCCTTGTGAAACAGTAAAAACATAATAATAGTTTCAAAATTAAAAACAAAACAAAACAAAATATTAAAATACAAATATATTAATACATTTATAATGACTAGCTAGGTAGGTACTTACTAGCCTCTTGGCTGTCTTCAGTTTACATTACGTTGTCTGAACATAGAGTTTAAATAAAATTCTTAAATAATAAAACAAAGGTAAATATGTATAAATATTAGCCTTAACAAGTAGGTATAACAGTTTAAAAATAATAATTTCAAAGTTAAAAATAAAATAAAATATAACAAAATTGACTTAGCTAGGAATTTACTAGGCAGTCTTAAGTTTACAATGTATTGGTTTAACAGTTCAGTCATAATATGCAGTCTTCAGTTACTTTGCCTCTCTGACATCAGAGAGTGGCTGTGAAAATATATAATTTCCTTCTTTTGTAAGTTTTGGGATTTTTAAAATTGCAATTATATGTATAATATCAACATCAAAAACATCATCGCCCTGAATTTTAAAGATTTGTCTTACATCATCTAATGATTTAAGACCATTGAGTGTATATACATTATACATTCTCAACTATATTCTTGATTACAGCTGCATATACATAAATGGTCTTTTTTCTTTTTCCTAACTGAACATTCCCCAACCCAAAATTACCAATAAATTATTTAAGTTAATTTAGTTATATTTACAGAATATCGAACCTCGTTATATCTTCGGATATTCCTAAATTACATAAGAATCATTAATCGTTGATTATAAAAAAAACCGGTTAACCACGTAACAAAAAAAAAAAACGGTATTGGTTTTGGTTACCGTTCAATTAATAATCATAGGTTTGAATTTCGGACTTTTTAAGAGCTGTCTTGTTTTATTGCTCCCGGTTACGGTTAAGGTTAATATTTAAAACCGATTTTAACCGGTTTTAACCCATATTGCTATATATACCATTCAAACTAAAAAAAAATATAATATAAATAATCGGAAATATAATATAATCGGAAGCGATTGTCTTCACAAGATGATGACTGACTGATTGACTGACTGTTCAACGTAAAACCTAAACTATGGTAGCTATAGAGACTTGACATTTTCATGGTATCTTCGTACCACCCACGTAGGTTTTTTTCACTTATAAATGGTGCCATTGGTTACACATTTTAATAGTAATATTATAGAGATTAGTATTTTTAGTATTTAAATAGTTGCCATTTTTTACTCGGGCAGATGAAGTAAAAGCATGTATCAAATAGTCACGTTTATATATGGCCTCGAATAAAGGACCTATATAATATTATCTTAAAACCAAATGTATGTTTGTAGCTTATTTATTCTCAAAAAATTCTTAACTAATTTTGATGAAAATCTCAGAGATTGTTCTTAGAGATATCAGAAAAGTTTAGAGTATTTTTAATCATGTTAAAAGTATACCAAGTGCTAAATCCGATCCACGACTTATGGTTGCCTTGGGTGGAATTATTTCACAAAAAAAGGGTACACCGATTTTGATTTGCCTGTAAACTGAGGTACACTAAAACCGTGATACATCTATATACCGCAGTATTTTAAATTTTTTCATTTTTTCCCGGGAGAAGTCGGGTTATACAACTAGTAATCGTATAGTAGAACGGACCTCCCCGGGTAGCAATCAACAGTTTAATTTGGTTGGCCAAAAAATCGCCTGATGAATACTTAGTACTTTTTATGGATCGCAGACACATAACGCGTTAACACCGCCACTTTATGGTTCCTAGAAATATTTTAGGTGGCACGCCACTGGCACATCTTTAAACCTCGAACAATGCGAATCCGGTGGGCCTGCACCGTGTTAGTGGCGCATAATCTACGTGGTGTCAATCAACAATAAGTGCTGTTTAAATATTTTTAAATTTTAATCTACCGATAACCAACACAAAAATATATTAAGTGTTAAAATAAGTTTAACCAATCGTGATGTTACCCGATGATGGTCAGTGGGTATAATATAATTTATTATTAAAATTGATACAAGCAATATTGATAATTATTCACCATAGCCAGTTTCATCAAAAATGAGATACCGCAGTACTCCTACACAATTTATTTTCCTTCGAAAAAAATTAAATCTAGATTTAATTATAGATAAGCTATAGCGTACGGAAACGATTCTGAGTGGAGACAAACCCGTCACCAATATATATTTATTTTATTTAAAGAAAAACAAATATACAATTATACATTTGAATTATCTATCCTCTGTAATCTGTGCTTGGGCGAAGATAGAGAGTTACAAAATTAATACCTATACTAAAAAAAATAAAACTAAATACAATTATTACGTAATTATACAATAGAGAAAGAGAGAAAAAAAAGAAAGAAAGAACATTTTCAAAAACAAAAATGAATAAAGTTAACCTAAGCTATATTTAAAGGTACAAATAACCATGCTACAATAATTTTTTTAACATAATTATGTTTGCAATTAATTTAAATATTCTTCTTTATAGAGAAAAGCATAGAATTGTAATATTGAGGACCAAGATAACTTATAACAAATTTTTGACCAATGAATTTTTTTAAATAGTGATATTTTAGAATTTTGAGATCGAAAAACTCTTTTAATATTAATTTCATTTTTATCTAAATTTTTAACCACCCACAATATAGCAATTTTTTTGAATACAAGGTCAACTGATAATACGTTGAACTCCTCTATTATATAAATACCTAAGTTTATTTTATGATATTATTTATAATGCTATTAAAGTAATTTATTTTACCATTAGATTATTATAATAGTAATTATATATTATTGTTAATAACTTTTGAGTCAATACCGACTTACCGTAAAAAGGTGTGAATAGCTTGTTCAAGGTATAAATATAAGCAAATAAAATAAAATTAATCTAAATGTCTTGAAAATGGTATTGTGTATATGTATAAGATAATCGATTTTGTAGAAAACAGATTTTGAGTGAATTTTCCACGATTATTTTGATAAGAATTGGGAATTTTTAAAAGCCTCAACTAGATCCACATTCTTACTAGAAAAGATATTGAAGTTGAAAATCAAAGCATTTCAATATAGTCAACCCTCTATTACATATAAAATTATTGTGATAAAATATAGTAAAATATTAATTTTTTATAACAATTATTAGAACTATATGAGCTTATTGAAACTAAAATAGGTATAACATATAAAATATCGTCAATGTTTTAATTATTACCTTTGTGATATTATTAATAGGTATTGAGTGTTATATTATATAATATTTACATCGGTGCAACCCAAACCCGTCCTTTGTTTATTGCTTACAAAACGACTCAAGTCGTAAAAGGTTTCACGAAAACGTAAATTCCTAAATAGCTCTGGTATTTGACTACAACAATTCTTTATAGTTTACTTTGCATATAAAATTTAAAAACACATTTTTAACCTTTTTTGAGACTAGTTCTAAGTATGTATGAAGTGGTAACGAATATTGTTGTTGTCAAAAACGGCAACCCTTTGGGAAAAATTGGTTATAACCATGATATTATATATACTTATCTATATATACTATATAGTTATATATTAAATAAACACAAATCAAATAATTTGTGCCAAAATAACAAATTTCCGTTGATATACAATATAATACAAGTAAAATAAATTATCTTAATACTTCAATAGTTAATAGGTTGGTTAAAATTTTAATATTTAAAGGTCAATTTACATGATTTTCTATTCAGAAAAATTGTTTGTATGTAAATGAAAAGTACCTTTCTTAATTTGGAAGAAAATTACCAGTGAAGGAAAACTCTATCTCATTTTAAGGAAAATGGTAGCACCAAAAATAGGTGAAGTTTTAAAATTTTGAAGTTCAGCACCACTGTTCCTGATAATAAACCACCACATAGTTTTTGATTTATTCAGCTGCCACATACATATTTGCCCAGGGCAGATTGAGCGATTACAGGGACTATATTATTCAATATTGGCACTGTTACGCATGTGTCAGACGTCTTCCGTTATTGGTACCTACCATAACGATCACACAAAAAATTAACCTAAATAATTAATTATTCCTGTTACCTATAGTAGGATCTATCAATTGGATGGCCTCCAATTTTGTTAATTTTACCATCAATTTTACTCGTATATATGAATTATTTTCACAATAATATATTTTTGTTTTTATATGTAATATAGGTACCTACTTTAATTAAATTTACTTATCAATCTTAGCGTGGATTGTAAAAATTAGTTTAACTGGTTTTTAACTAAATTAAGTTATTTTTAACTTTAATCTCAACTTACATTTTTTGATATTAACTTAATGGGTTTAAAATATTGGTCAACTTGCCGCCAACCTTGTCAAATGTATCACAAACTGCAATGACATTACTAAATATTGTACATATTGAACAATTTAAGTCTTCACACAACTAGTTATAATTTCATCACAATTATAATATATTAATATTAATATATATATATAATATTACATACATATCTATGATTTGTCACACTTATTAATTATTATTATCACATCTCTTTTCTCTACAACTTCACACCCCCCAAGCACTTCTAATGAGCTATGACTGGTACTTCAACAATCAATGCTGTTTAAATATTTTAAAAACTAAATTTACTGATAGCAAAAGTATGTAAGTGTTAAAATGATCTTAACCCATCGTGATTATGCCACCCAACAATGGTTGAGTATTATTAAAATATAAATCTATACAATAGCGATCATAGTGAACGTTTTGTAATTCAACACCACTGCCCCCCCCCCTTCACAAAAATAAACCATTACACGTTTTTGAAGTGAAACTTCTTTACGAAGGCTACAGCAGGACAAAACTGAATAATCGCTAGTCACGACATTTTTTTTCAAAAAAATCGATTTTGACAGTCGACTTTAAATCACCCACACCTCGCAGAACAACGGGACAGACGGAAATGGTTTATGTTACCTCACCGACAGTTTGTGGTCGAGTAGAGGTAAATTCAGAATTTAAAGTATCCCTGGACACGATTGTCTTAGCGGTTCAGCGTTTTGACTACCTCCCCTCCCACACTATAAACTTGAAGCTAGAATTGATTGAGCCTATCGCGGAGCTTATCGTAGAGCGACGGGACCCAGGCCAAATGTTTTGGGATAACCTCGCGGAGAGAAAGAAGTTTCACTTCAAATCAGTGAGTATATAATATACTCGCAGCACTCACTCTTTTTCATTTATATTCAGCTCGCGTCTACTGCGCCGTTTATATATATTTGCCTATACTATGCAGGTTTGCGCGTTTACAGGAAATATCGGCACTGTTACGCGCGGCATCACAAACGATCTGCCAACCCGACATTCAGGTACCGGCCACACGTGTTGGAGTGCGCATCGCCGTCCTCCACCGTGGCCGCCTCCAACGACGACGGCTGCGAAGAATCGCGACGGCAGTCAACCGAACAACCACCGGTGCAGCGGCGGTTACCGGCATCGAATAAGCCACCGACCACGACGCCACCTCTAACACTGCCATCATCGACGCCACCTCTAACGCTACCATCATCGACGCCACCTCTAACGCTGCCATCAACGACGCCACCCCTGCCACCTACTTCACCACCACCTCAACCGCCGGCGCGCTCAAACGGCTGGCCGCCAGGCCACGGGCTACACAAACACCTGTTGCTGGTCACCGGGCAGGTGTACCAGGAGTTCATAAGCGAGTGTTCTGTAGCGGAACAGGCGCGTGACCTCCACGAACTCGGCTCGAAGCTCGAGCGACGGTCCGAGCTGTTCGGCGTCGGTGACTTCGTGCTAATCCAGGTGGGCACGGGCTGGCGGCTCAACGTCCAGCTGCTCGACGTGCTGGTCGACAGGCTGGGCAATGTGTCCATGTACGCGGACAAGAAGTACTACAGCAAAACGATGACCAAACACTGCCGAAACATCGGCGACCGGTGCACGCAGCTCGCCAACCTGGTGCCCGTCATCGAACAGCTGGAGTTGCGCCAAGAATTCCTCATCGGTGGTGGCGGTGGTGGCGGCATGTACGACCCTGACTGGATTCCGGTGCCCGCTGTGCCGCCCCTGCCCCGCAACTTCACAGGCGACACCGAGAAGCAAATCGAATACCTGACGTGGCGGCTGTGCGTCCGGGACAGGCGACAAAATTTCTACTACAAACTCGACCAGGACTCGCTGCGGTCCCCCTTGAGGTATACGCAACGCTTCGGTCACAAACGCCATCCGCAACCCAATACCCGCTTGTCCACCCACACACACACACACATACACAACATACACACTCACTGGGGGTGTAGCGTGCATGTAAGCACTCCAGTCAAGTGGACACGCAACACGCTTAAGAGAGAAAAAATAAAAAGTCTTACTGCAGTTTTAATACTTGAAATTAAATATTTTGATAATTTACTTCAACAGTCAAAATCACTGTCCCACACTCGGACAATCCATGTTCACTATAAATAATAGTATAGATAATAGATACATTGTACATATTATAAGTACATAACTAAGTAACTAAGTAACATTGTACATACGCGTCGTGTAACATGTTTCGAAACTGCTTACCCCGCGATATCGTTAAAACTACGATGACATAGGTTGAATTTCGTCAGAGCTGGATAAAGGTTCAATGCCGCAATAGTGCCAACAATTAACTCTCCCCTCCCCCCATTACCACTAACTGAATAAGAATGTGGTATTATGGACCTAAAATGTTTTTTTATTTCTATATTAGTCAACGATATTTCTAAAACGATGTACCTACCTACTAACTTAATGATTGTTTTATGTAATGAAGCAAATGATAATTTGCCTCTTGATGGAAAATACAATGATACAATGCTTTAAATTGTATTATATAGGTCCTTAATTCTTCTTAACAACGTGTTTCTAAATCTAAATTAAAAGTAAAAATTAATTAGTAATATTAAAATAATCTATAACATCACGATTTCAATTTATAAATTATTTTTAAAAAGGTCATAGTAATTAAACAGTTAAGAAAAACAATTATTTTTATACATAATTATTGTATCATATTTTTTGGATAGGCAGTTTAAATTGTTCCATGTCTTAAAAATACTGTTTCCGGTCCTGAATGTCGTGAGGAGGGAGTTCGGTAATAAAATATTAAGTTCATATGATTCGTGAGAACTTTGGACCACGATCGTGTTTACGGGTTTGGCCATACTTGTCAAATGGGCTCTCGCAGAATTTTAAGTTAATGTTAGCAGGGAACATAAATATCAAGCTAGTAAAAATAGTAAAATTTAATTATCAGTTTATCACTTAGAGTCGACGAGTAAAATCTTTTGGATTCAGATTTTATGGCACTAGGCATCTATATTATAGGTAGGTCATAGGGTAACAATTTACCATACTATCATATTCTTAAAAAGAGTTCAGGAATCCGTGTGCATTATGGAATTTTTTGAGAGACATATAATATATGTACAATAGGTAGGTAACAATTTCTAAAAAAATATTTTAGGTGTTTTACAGGGACTGACTCCATAGGTTACCAACATGTCATTTTCGTTAGCCACATCTGTGAATAAATTCTAGACACACCTATGCTTTTAACATTGCATCCATACACGCCGGCTTATACATTTGTAGTTTGTTTTCCTTTATTTTCGATTACTACAAATTGTGCTTTTGCAGAAATTTTGAACTCTATTACGTATTTTATTTTACTATAATTATTTCAAATAATCTTATTGTATTGATTAATTTTCCAATAAATCTGACATCAAGCTCTTCATAATATTTATGATTAAGCAATGTAAAATATGTATTGTATTGCAGACAATTTGCAGAACAATTAGGTACTATATAAACAAATCTTTCTGGTCTTATAATTTTGCAGAAAAACAGAATATTTTAAATAAAGGTAAACAAATTTCAAAACCGATTTTAAACGAAATTTACCTACAAAAAAATTCTGTATTTACATTTCTTACATTTTCTTTCAGAACCCAAACTAGGCCGTTTACACACACACGCGCACGCACACACACACACACACACACACACACACACACACACACACACACACACACACACACACAGACAAACAACATTGGTATAAGTGTATAACTATAGACATGACGTGGTGGAGACTTCACTTGACCACGCTCGATTAACAGTTGACCCGAAGACCACGGTTGTCAAGTCGGGCATGTCAAAATTAAGTATACTTACTCTTCTGGCCCTCTTGTCATGAAACAGTCTCCAACATTTTAAATTGCAGTTTACATAAAGTAATTAGGTACCTTATACTGAAGACAATATATTATGTAAACGAAACTTTTTAAACATTTTAACCCGCTATTTGTGCCAATGGTGACCACACATATATTACCATGATTTACGCCAGGTCATAAAATTTTAACATAGAACTGTAAGCTATTATAGCTTATGTATGCTGAATTCTCGTAAAGATCAGGAACCACCAAACTACCAAAGGCGCCCATAAACGGGTGCAAAGGGTAAAATATCACTCCCTAGACAAATGTGAAATGATAGTAGTTTTAGATTCTGAGCGGAGCGATAAATGTATTGATTTTACATTAATGTGTTTTTTTTTAAATTTTTTTTTTGTGTGTCTATCATCACCTTTTAGGACAGTAAAAGTGCTTAGATTTTCTTCAACAGTATCTTATAGTATACAGTTTCTGATAGAAAAGTGAATCTAGTTGGTACTTTCGGGGGTCAAAAGTAAAAATCTGGCAGTAGTTTTCATAAGCACCGTGAAAAGCAAAAGAAAAATTTAGCAAAATCGATTTTGGTTTATGGTGTAAATATCTAAAACAAATGACCGTAAATACATAAATAACATTTCACATTTTCACTTTCTGTACACCATATAAAATTTTAAAATATTTTGACTCAACTGTTTATGGACATTTTCAGTTTTCAATTTTTTTAGTTTTTTTTCTATAATTGTCAATAAAATTGTATTTGTTTGGTAAAAATTTTAGTGAACGTTTTGGTGGAAATTGAATACAAAGCTCCTGATATATTGTTACAATAGCAGTTGAAAAATATTAAAAATGCATAGGCACAATTTTTTTTTATAAGCATTTGAAGTTTGAATCTTGACAAAATTTATCAATTTTAAAATTTAATAATTTCTTTGTAGTTAAAAATTTATAAAATGTTCAAATTTTACATCTGAAGATTGAAAATTTAAAACAAGGTTCCATGTAAATAGGTTATATCGTATATCTATAAATTACTTTATTCACAAAAATATCATCAAATATACTTAGTAATATTTACCTATGATAGGCTGACTGACCATCTTCGCTCAGAATCATTTTTCTTATACAATGATATTATATCATTGAATTCAAATTTAACACCATCCATTACAGTCACCCACTTGTAACCTACTGCACAGCAAAGCGTCACCAACTTTTATAGCTTATATTTAATATATTTAATAAATAGTTAACTATGTTTTTCAATTTAGATAGGTACCACTTTATCAGTAGGTAATAAAATGCTGTGACTTTTGGAATCAGGGATTTTAATGAGATAGATGTAATAGATAAAATAGATAAGCTAAATAAGATAAATAAGATAGGTATATTTATGTATTTCGAGTGGAGGGAGAAAAACTATATATCCCCCTCAAATAAATGATAAATACGCCACTGTGCCAATGGAATGAATTGGTGCGTTTTATGGTAGGTACACAATAATAAATCATATTAATAATATAATAAAGTATGTAGGTACAGTCTAGAAGAAGCCATTAGCCAACTGAATATATTATATTAATATTTAATATTCCATAATAGTAAATAAGTAGTAAACTATATTAGTTATTAAACTAGCGGATGTACAGTGAAATATGTTGGGATGTATAAAGTCTCCAAGTTGTATAATCTGACTTTATTATTATATTATATTACGTAGGTATGTATAACAAAATATATTGTTGGTATAGTTATACCTATTACCTATCAGAGTACGACTATCATAAAAACAAATTGAGGAGGGCTAAGGGAGACTTAGTTCCCCTAGTCCTGCCTATCTTTATAAAATTATTACAATTAAAACCGTTTATCATTTAATATAATATATAATTTATATATCATGATTTTTTTCGAATTTATCAGAATTATTTTTTTGTCTTGATAACAAAAATGTAATCAACTGCAAGCATAGCTAGATATTTTATATTAGTTGTTAATAAAAAATACGTATATAAATATATAATCATTTTAAGGATTCATATCTGACATAATATTAAACTATGTTGGAGCACTTCTTTTCACTCTCGGAACCACTCACATGTGTACAGCATGGCAAATTAACGTTCAGCTGAACCGATCTTGCGTTGTTAGCTTTAATATAGGAATGATAGACCTATTATAATAGGCTATAATTAAATTTAAATATAAGAATTAAATGAACATAACATATTCCATACATTAGTTTTTTACGATAAACCAATTTGTATGCAAGTTTTTGAGTATCTAAAATATTAAAATTGTATTATTATAAATAAATTATCAGAGAAAAAATTTAAATATAGTAAAATAGCCATCGTATGAATAATGTGGGTCACAATTGAATGTAAGTAAATTCACTTTAATATTTAAGCTAATAACTCAAGATTGGTTCAGTTAAGCCTAAATTTACCATGTAACGTGTGGGTCTGCAGAGAGAAAACAAAATAGCATACTTATCTACAGTGCTCAGACATCCTTTCAATATAATATAATTTAGATACCTAATCTTAATTTGTGGTTTCATCAATAATAGTTGGGAGAGTGAAAAGTGGCCGCTGGCGATATGATAGCAACCTTTTGTTTTTATCAAAAACAGGGGTTCTAAAACTCGCATTCAACATCATTCTAATACATTTGTATAAGGTAATTGTATCTACATCAAATACAATTCAAAATACGCTCGCTCTATTTTGCGAAACCATCATAACAATTCACCACCAGAAGCGAGAGTATCAGCGGCCACTTTTCATTCACCCAGCTATAGTGGTTATTTTCTTTTTGATTTTAACTAGGACTATTTCCTAATCGTTTCTATATATTTGGTGTTATAAATTATTTTGTTGTAGATAGGCGTGTGGGGAACCAGTGGCGGATATCGGGGGAAGGGTCATAACTTTTATATTGACAGGACTGAGTAGTGAGTAGTAGGTACTTATATAATGAATATAATGACTAATAGCTATGAATCAATAAAATGTGACATTAAAATCTTAGCAGACGACGAAACAGTAATAATAATTTATTATGAATTATACGATTAATGATTACTAATTACGATGATTACAATTTAAATATTACAGAATATAGAGTAGTAGGCAACCTCTGACGTCTGATGTCTACGCATAACTTATAATGGTATTGTGTTTAAAGTTCCTACAAAATGTATTTTGTCATTAACTATAATATTAAGATTTGTTAGTAGGTACACAGGTACACTACGTTTAGGTGGTAATAACCGATGAGCATAAATCTCAACTTACATACCCGATGGCCGACACTTCTATAGATTAAGCCTGTGATTCCTAACATATGAGTCGCTGCCGTAAACCAATATTAATAGGAGAATAAATGATTAATTTAAATTTAATAATAATCTCAATATTAAACAGAATTGCATTATTCAGATGCTATATTCTGTATTGCATTATATTATTAAAATAAAATAAGTTGCTTGTAATACAAATTGTTATTAATACTACTTATTCATGGCAACATGTGGTGACTTGAAAAACGAGCCTTGAAGTTACTATTCATTTTTAATCTACTGCGTATAGAATAAATCTCAAAATACGCTAAATCTATAGATGTAGGTCTAACGATTACCACCTAAACATAAATACTCGTAAATCGTAATTTTATAATGACAATTTTATATGATCGTTTTTCCCCATAACTCTTCATATATTTTGTAAGCTATTTTAAGGTTAGCGACCTCGGGCCTCAATAACTTGGTCTAATCAGACTAATTGCACTTATATACAGCATTTACATATGTCAGATCGTGATAATACCTTTCTATGAATTATGATAAACTCATCTTACTTTGCGTCTACACATATACACATATCCATTAAATCTGCCAAAAGAGTGAATGCGTGAAGCTGTACATATATTAGATATGCCTAACTTATTATTTTAATTTTAGTTTCTTGTTGATCTATACGAATTGTATTAAAGTCAATTATCACCCTGTAGAACACACATTAAGGACATTTTGTACCTATTAAAACTATACCATGATCATAATATATGTAGTTTATTGTAAAGTTTTTAAAAATCAAAACAAATATATATATTACCCTTCCAATTCCTTCTAATTTATATTCATTTGTCAATAACCACTGTGTACAAATGGAATGTTTCAGTGATCAAAGCGACATCGCTGAGAGTGACAATGTCGTCTTCGAAACCAGTTTGTCACTCACCGACATACTACCGATCAATCCAAAAAACTACGACAAAAACCGTGCGCCAAAAGTACAAGGACAACCGACTATTGTTTACTTCCACGTCACAGTACTGTCTTTGGATTCCATTAACGAAGAATCCATGGTAAACCTAAAAATCAACGTTACACTTAAGCCAGATTCACAGCTACGTCGTGTGTGTTGTTGTGTTGCGTCGATTAAATCGGACTGCGATTTGACGTTACTTTTTTGTTATCATATAATAACTAAGTTGCAACCGAGTATACCAAAAATTGACTCATGGGCGTAACTAGGATTTATTAGTTACAGGGGCTAGAGTCCTACAAAACTAAAGTGTGAAATAACACGTGGTTGGCGAAGCCCCTCCTTATAAGATTCACTAAAATTTAGTTGTTACAAAAAGTCAGCTAAAACCAAAATTTAATATAAACCATAAATTGTTTGGGTCATCTTCGTTCTTAGGACTGCTGAATTTTTTTAATTTGAATAATATACTGAACATTTTGATAATTGTATACAATAAAATCTAACGTATTTAGGTATACCGTATACGTACTCAAAAATAAAAACAACGGCCGTAAAGCTGGGTTCACACTAAACTGTGTCGTGTAAAATAATCATGATTACCTCAGTTACCAAGCGATGTTTACCAAACAATTGTTATGGTTCAGAACGGTACTAGGTACCATCTTGGTATTCATAGTATTAACCGTAAAAATTGTTTGGTAAACATCGCTTGGTAACTGTGGTAAACGTGATTATTTTACACGATACGGTGTAGTATGTGAACTCGGCTTAACAGTCTGTAATAGTACCTACCTACTTTGCAGTCTGCACAGTGAGTGCTACAGACGCACAGTAAATTCAGAACTGACAATTGGAAAATAAAATGATTATATAATAGTATTCAACCACTGTTGTACAAATGTGAGATACAACTAATATAGGTAACTATAATGTATTAATGTTATAAGAATAGGTATACCAATACGAGACACGGGCACCTATTTAAAGGTAATAAAATAATATATTAATATTATAATATATAATAGGGGCGTTATATAGGTTAAAAAGTAAAACCTCATAGGGGGGCTAAATAGAAGTACAAGGGGGCTAAGCCCCCCTTAGTTAAGCCAGAAAATTGACTACAGCTGAACTTTTAAACAAATATATTTATCAGTTGTAACCATTAATCAATACTCTATAGTACCTATCTGCATAGACATATTAATAAATGGACTGCGCCTCCCCACACCCCAACTATGTCACCGCGAGACCAACATTGTTAGAAAGATATCAAAGATATTATACATGTATATGAAAGAGAAAAGTATAGTTTAAAAATATCATAACAGAAAAAAATCAGATATCATGGAATGATAAGCAAAATTTAGAGGTGGAAACATTCTTAATGTCTTAAGTTGTATGCTATCTCTTTCTAACAATGTTGGTATGCGAACCTCTCTTTATACGATCTATCCATTTTTTAATATGACTATGGTCCATAGTTACCACGCCCTTGCACTATACGACACACGACGTAGTTGTGAATCCAGCTTTACCCTGAATAATCAATATTCAATGATATACGTTCCATTTATATAGAATAGGGAGGGGAGGCTAATTGCACTATAGCCCCCTTAAAATATTTTTTAGCTCCTAAAAAAATGCTCACTAAAAATGAAAAACCTTGGAAATGCAAAATAAAAGTTTAATTTTTGAAGTAAGTACCTACCCATCTGTTACATTTAACAAATAATATTTCTACTTGGAATGCGTTGTTCTAGATTACCTAAAAAATAATTGACTTTGCATTGAAATCTCAGGCCTAATAACTCCTAAACGTTCGTACCAAGGTCAATTTTAATCTTTCGTATATTCGAAATATTATCCCTACTTAAATTAATAATTGATATAATATATAGTTGTCAAAAAATACGAATATTGGTATTCCTCAAATAAGTAGATTCCCTCAATGCTAAATACACAAAAAATTATATGTTTGTTTATTTATTCTTGGATAAATTTATAAATTTGCAAATTGGCCAAGTTTTGATAAAATTATCACGTAACGCGCCAAATGATGGTTTTAGAATAACACATCATAATAGTTTAATATAATATTATAGATTAACTCCTATGTTCAAAATTTGTTAGGTAATTATTTTTAAATGTAATAACATTTTTATATAATTTATTATAAATAGTATAACAATCAGTGTCGTAAAAAGTACTTTTAAAAAGCATATAGTAATAATTACTATAATAGTATTTATAATAGTATAATAGTATAATAGTATAATAGTACTATAAGTAATTACTTAAATGCTTTTAAAATAAAGTATTTAAAATAGAACCCAAATACTATAAGCAGTTAAGTAATTATAAAGTATAATAGCTGTTAAGGAAAAGCTTATTGCATAATAATATATTTAGTTATTGACTAAATAAGCTAATTCTAGTACCGACGTACCGTTTCGATCGTTAACGACCATAAACTGGTTCCTGGAGAAAAAAACATTTAAATAAGCTATAAATCGACGAAAACCTAAATCTAATTGTGCATAAATGATAAATATATAGTATAATATTGTTGTAACGTTGAAGGATAACCACGACGGCGCGGTATTTTTATTTAACAAGGATTATAAATAGAAACAAATTGAGAAGTAAAAGAATAAAAAAAAAATATTCAATAAAATAGTATTCAATAGTAAAGTAAAGGATTTAAGATACCATTCAAATACTACAAAATAAAAAGTATTCAATACGAAAAAAAGTATTTGAATCAGGGTTTGAAACTGGTTTCAAAACCAATTTCAGAAACTGGTAGGTATGACCGTTAAAATTGAAACCGATAAAAACGGATACCGGTATTATAATCTAATACCGAAACCGAAAAAAATTGAAAACCAAAATCGAAAAAATTAAAAACTGGTATACAAAATCAAAACCGAAACCAAAATTTTTTCAATCGGTTTCAAGCCCTGATTTGAATACTTTTACTCAAATACTTTACAACACTGATTTCAATATTATGGATTCAAAGAATAAACTGTTATTTACTAAATCACAGTAAGTTATGTAACAAACGACTGCACGGTGTATTATGTCTTATATTTTGTATGTTAACTAACCTAATCTATAATATACTACGTGTCTACACGTACAACAGAGGTATAGCCGTATAGATAACGTGGTTTATTGTTCTAGACGTACGTGGCGGACATATTCTTGGCGCAAAGCTGGCGGGACCAGAGACTCCGGCTCCCGGAAAACATGAGCGAAGACTATCGCATACTGGATGTCGAATGGTTGCACGACATATGGCGACCCGATTGTTTCTTCAAAAACGCGAAAAAAGTCACGTTTCACGAGATGAGCATACCGAACCATTACTTGTGGCTGTACCACGACAAGACGCTGCTGTACATGTCAAAGTATAACGAATTTAAGATTAAGACAAACGGGGATGAAAGAAGAGCAAAACACGTGGCGTCGTCCCCAACATTTTCTGATATTTTTCATAACACTTTACGTATATTATACTACGTACAGTTTACCTTTATGTAGGGCAATTTAACAAGTATACAGAGTATACTCACCCACTTTCTCTTCTCCAATAATGCAATTATTCAAAATCTGATTTTTGAAATTTTGAAATATCCTTAAAATTGTAAATTTAAAATCAAAATTCGAACGAGTAATTGTTGAGTTACAGTAGAGTCTCGCTAATCCGGTCATCGCTATTCCGGACATCCGGATAATCTAGACAATCTATATTTCGTACTTTAGTACTCATGTATAATGCATATAGATTTGGGAATACACATGATTAAGATATTATCGTTGCGATTAAATATAATTGTAAATCAATAAAATACATATTTTGGATTTGTTTAATTATATAAGGTGTTTTTTGTTTATATTTATAAATTATAAGTAAGTTTAAGAATAAGGTTATTTTGTTTAATCCGGATTTTCGATATTCCGGATAGAGTCCGATCCATTAAGTTAAGTCCGGATTAGCGAGACTCTACTGTATTCAACTTTGCGTACTAGGTCCACGATATTAGGTTTGAGACATTTGGGGATTATCCGATGGTAATATGAACATTTTCGTAATCTATTTTATTCAATCAATATTTATAATTTGTAAAAAAAAATAGTCCAAGTATAATAAATACTAGGTCCGATACCTAAGTATTACATCTATTTTATGTTATTGTAAAACCATTCTTAAGAACTATATCTTTAATATAAAAAGGGGGAAGTAGGTAACCACTTAACTGTACAGTATAGAAATCGAGTAGGAGTCCTCGTCATTGAGATCACTGTAATGTATGTATTAAATTTTATATCAATCGCGAAGATTGGTTATACACCAGCCTATTATTCTTATAAATATATTTCATTAAATCTATTAAAATTAATCTAAATGTATTAAAAATGCCATTGACCATTGTGTGTACAAATTATAATAATATACTTCAAAGTTTCGAATCCTATGAAAAATATTTTTAAATTTCTACAAAATGACTGAAAACTTTAATCTTCGTTTAAATATTGAATTTGTCTAAATTTGAACTTAAAATAACTAAAAAAAATTATATTTTTTAAATTCTCAAGGTTTTTGACTGAGTGAACATTTTCTCATCAAAATTTAAAGAAAAAGAAATCTAATACGTCAAATGTCTTAATGATATAGTCATTATAGATATAATTACATAAACATCATCAAAATTTTTTTTAAATGTTATCATTTAAGTATAGAAAATTGTAATAAGCACATTTGGTGAAAATTTCAAGTATTTACAGTTGTTTATTTTTAAGTTACACAAAAAAAAAATTGATTTGTCAAAACAAATACCCAGTTATCCTTATTTTCAATTAATTTAATGGTTTTATACAATGATGTGTATATATGATAAGTAGTTAAAATAATGCTTCGATTTTAAATTTCAATGTTTTGTTCGATGGGAAAGTGGATCTAGTTGGTGCATTGGGGAGGTAAAATTTAAAATTCTCAGTAGTTTTCAAAAGCGCCCGGAAAAATAAAAATAAAAAATAAGGAAAAACAGGAATTTGTATGCAAAGGATTTTTGACTAAATTGATTTTGGTTTTTGGTGTAACACTTAAAAAAATTACAGTACATACATACTATTTTCACTGAATGCTTATATTAACATTTCTATTACATATCGTATCAAATTTAAAATTCAAAAATGATTTTGTAGTTAAAAATGTAAAATAATTTATAAAATGTTCAACTTTTATAGCTAGGAATAAACATTTAAAACAAGGATCCAAGTATATAGGTTAATATTCTGTATCTAAAAAATATAAAGACACATTTTTTTTATATTCAAATTTGGAAGAAACTACATATTGAATAACTAAGAATAACGATTTGAATTATTTTGTTGTAATTTTATAATATTAATTCAACTTACCGGCCCCATCGTATTAATAAAAAGTAGGTACCTAATAACAATATAAATATTAAATATAATATAAAATATCCAGACTGACAAACCTGAAAGTTGAAACCATCTCCGCTCAGAATCGTTTTTCGTATACAATGATGTATTATAATATCATTGAATTTAAATTTAATACCATCCATTATATACAGTGACCCATTTGTAACCTTCTGTACAGCAGAGCGACATCCACTTACCCGGTTTTTTTTATTCCAGATATTTTTAAAATACTGGGTATTTTAATTTTTATTTCTTTTAAGTACGAACTAGAACAACAATTTGCTATCAAAAACTTCCTTTAAAAGTTTAAGATAAGATTGTAGTATTTTGTCTACTATATAGTACCTATGTCGTGTAAACAGACAAAAAAAACACATTGGTATAGGTAAATAAATACATTCTAAAAAAGGATCCACTAAATAATTTACAGAGAAAAGGGGGTGTTCTCATTTTAATACATTTTTAGTTAAATGAAAGGATTGGGATGAGGATGCCTGGTGAATCACTCCGTACAATGTTATTTTTTCTCGTAATTTACTGAACGGCGTATCCCAAACGAATTGCAGTATATTCACTTGTTAAATTAACAATAATTGTAGGCGACAATCGACACGATTGCTCTTATTTCGTCTAACCTGACCCGTGTCGGTATACGCGTATATGACCTATATAATGTATACTAATCCAAGCACGATTGTTTTCCTTCACTAGATTGACGTTGGTATTATCGTGTGCGATGAAATTTGAATCGTATCCTCATGACACACAGATATGTTCGATGATGATCGAAAGCCGTGAGTGACAAATATTACTAAATAATAAAATAATATACCTTCAGGAACGAGTATATATTATAGCCATACAGGTGTGGTGACCTGCATACTAAGTATTATTTAACTGCGGACACATATACCTATATTTGTCAAGAGGACGCTACCCATGTACTTGTTGTCTTCGTCTTACACACGCACCACGCACGACATACCAAATTTCCATTCGCTAGTTTAAATAGTGTGTTGTTAGTTTTAATATTAGAGTGAATTGACCTATTATCATACTATTAGCTAAGAATTTTATCTGTGCTTAAGCGTTGGCGATTTTTAAATATTTTCATTTTCAAGTAAGATATGTGTACGTGAAATATCAAAAATTAAATATGCTCATATCTCGCTTGAAAATTAAAATATCGAATAAAAACCAACTCTTAAGCACAGATAATGTTATTATCTAAATATGTTATAATAGGTCAATTCACTCTAGTATCAAAACTAATTGCATACTATTGAAACTAGTGAACGACGATTTGCTATGTCGTGAGGGTGTATGACGGAGACAACAAATGTATGGGTAGCGTCCTCTGAACGCATCTAAAATGTTCCTATAAATTTGTAACTGATAAATTGATAAATTTATTAAAGTTTTATTTTACTATTTGTTAGTTAAATGTACCTAACAGCACCAATGGACTAATAAGTTATAAGTCACACACCCATTAATATAACACTTTTAAGAAAATGTGCTGGTCCTAGCTCGTTATTTTTATGATACCTACCATCTATATTCTATACTCTATAATCGTCTATATAGTATATTAACGATAGTATATTATATTATTGTGTTTATTAATTAAATAAGTAATCTGATTTCCTCATTACCTATATACCTATATTATTTATGCAGTAATATGCACTGACTATAATAAATATACTTGTTATATTGTACTAATATTTAACTTTTCAGTGTCTCACACAACTCACGATTTGGTTTTTATATGGAATATGACAGATCCATTAGTGGTAAATCCAGATATCGAATTACCTCAACTCGATATATCAAACAATATAACTACCGATTGCACAATAGAATACTCAACAGGTGTGAACAATATAATACTATTAATTAATATGTGAATAATACACCCGTTAAACACTGTACAAACTACAAGGCCCCCGGATCAACAGGGAAACTATCAAGGAAAACTACCTGTAGTTTTAAAATTATTTTATATATATACATATTAACATATTTTTGTACAGACAACTATTGCCATTAGACTAATATCGTGACTGCAATGCCTGGGTACCCGGCTCGTAACAATAATATTGTTTTTGAAATTATGTTTTGATACCATTTAAATTTATAGTATTTTTTCTACAAGTCTAGGTAAACATCTCAATAAAATTACAGTTTATGAGATACCGCGTATTTTATTACATGGATCGTAGATAATATCTAGATAGGTAGGTAGGTATCTACAACATTTGTATTTAAACAAGAAGTACCTCAATCTTACAACATCGTTTTCCTGGTCTCCTCTCTAATACCTCTTATGCACAGTTAAAAAAATAATTATTATAGGAAAGTAATCAAAATTTAAATTGTATCGTTTTAAAACAATATTAAGCTCTTGCTGCTCCTGCTGTTTTTACTATTTTATCTCTTCCAGAACATTTCTAGCTTTGTAGTTACTTGGTATTACAGTTACAGTCGCGTAATGCAATAAGTACCTAATAATATAGGTAACACATTTAATTATTATATAGTCATATGGATTACATAAGTTAACTAGGTACCTATACATAAATTTCCATCAAAAAGAATATAAAATATAGAATTTCCTGATAAATGAAGAATATAATATACGTATAACTGGTATTTATTTTTTATAAATTCGAGTATTGGGAGAATACTATTAAAATTAAAATAATAATTTGGAAAATAACCTGGATTGCGCGATTCAATACATTAGGTAGGTACCTATAATATTGTTTATAATTATGTATAGGGAATTTCACATGTTTGGCCGTGATGTTCAATTTACGAAGACGCTTAGGGTATCATTTATTCCACACGTACATTCCATCGGCGCTCATCGTTGTCATGTCGTGGATTTCGTTTTGGATAAAACCCGAGGCCATACCAGCTAGAGTTACGTTGGGCGTGACTTCGCTATTGACGCTCGGTAACCCGAAAATCGATCAAATTTATTAATAAGCCATATTAATCTTAAGAGCATTTAATTTTTTTTTAAAAAAAACAATAATTTTCACACAGCCACTCAAAACACTCAGTCACAACAGTCCCTGCCACCTGTATCCTATGTGAAAGCTATCGACATATGGATGTCTTCGTGTTCAATTTTCGTTTTTCTATCCTTAATGGAATTCGCCGTCGTCAATAACTACATGGGACCGGTGGCGACCAAAGTGATGAAAGGATACTCAGAAGAAGACATCCGAGGAGGCGACGATTTCAAGGTATACTTTAGTACTGAACACAGATAGAAGTTATAGACTAGAACGAAAAAAACACATTAAAAATTATAATTTTGACTGATTTCGTACACTTCCTCACAGAAATCAAAGGTCAGCCGTTTCGAAATGTGTACTTACCTATACGTCCTACATAACATTTTTTTTATTTACGAGTCAATAAACGTAATAATTATTTTAAAATATTTAATATTATTAAGGTGCTTTTCCACTTCCATAGTGTTCGTATTAAATGCGTGGTTAACTGGTTAGTCGTTACCTACCATAATAAATAATAATATAGCCATATAGGTAGGTACTAAATAGTTGTAAAAATTCCACTACCTATAATCTACTTTAGGTAGGTACCGCTGACTGGAACCTTTTGAATTTAATGGTATCGGTCCGGGTACTGGTTGTCCAAAAATAAAATAACTGTTCCAGTTCGGTTCTGGTTTTTTGGTAAGAAATAAAAGGTATCGGTTTCAAATAATTTCGGTACCGGTTCCAGATAATTTAGGTAGGTACCGAAATGTATAATCATTTTAAATACCTATCACTTATCAGGAATGCTGGTTTATTAAATTAATAGTATGAGAAATATTAGAAAACTCATATGATCATACATAGTTTATTCACAAAACAGTATTACAATTAAATTATGATAAAATTATTTTATTTTTGAACCTAAAAGAACCTACCTATTTAATTTAAACATTTCAATTCGGTTCCAGTACCTACTCTATTTATTAAAATAAAGGTTTCGGTTCCTAATATTTTAAAGGTTCCGGTTCCAGAACCGATTTTTTAGGTTCTAATAAAAGGAAAATTACTAGCTATTTAACGTTCAGCGGATGAAAAAATAAGTAAGATCACTAATATTGTTACAGAAAATCAAGATGTGGACTTACTTAACGGTAATATTTTTACTATGGCCGTTCATAGTGAGGTTATAAATATAACATCCAACGAAGTACTGGACAAATTAGCAAAAAAAAACAAAAAAATAGATTTATCGATGTAATGAAAATATTGTTAATAGGTACTATAATATTTTTATAAAGTCTGTATGGTAAATGGACATTTCCCCCCACGACTGTTTTAGGTCTAGTAGGACATTTTTCCAACAATATATTTTTGATGCTGACATTTAATGCCATTTTTTTTTTAAAGTTTAATATTGACTAATAATATTGGATTTAATAATACAATATAATTTAATATTTAATATGAAATTATTAAAAAAAAATAAGCATAAAATAAAGTATAATTAATAATTAATAAAAATAGCTAAAAATTCTGGAATAAAAAAGATACATTTTGTAAAAAACATTTTATTACTAATTTTTTTGTTATTTCTAAACTATTTTTTAGCCTTTGTTCATATTAGATTTTGAGTAGAACGATAATGTAATGATTGCAATGATATGTATTTTTTATTTTTTATTTGTGTCTGTGTACACAATAAGTAGTCGACATAATGATTCGATTTTCAACTTCAGTATCTTGTTCGATTCGAAAGTGAATATCATTGATGCATTGGGGAGGTCAAAATATAAAATTCCCAGTAATTTTCAAAAGCCCCAAGATAAATAAAACAAAATTAAGGAAAAACCGGAATTTTTACGCAAAATCGAATTTGGTTTTTGGAGTAACTTTAAAACAAATGACCGTAGAATACATTAAATTTTCACTGAATGTTTATATTAGTATTTTCTATACACGAATAACATTTTGACTCTTTTTGAGCTGTTTACGGACATTTACAGTTTTCAATCATTTAAGTTTTTTTTTCTATAAATATCAATAAAGTTTTATCAGTTGGGCCAAAAAGTGTAAGAATTTAATACAAGTCTCCTGATATATTGTTACAATATCAGTTGAAAAATCTTCAAAAATACATAGGCACAATTTTTTTTTTATAAGCATTTAAAGATCGAATTTTGACAAAATTTATCAAATTTAAAGTTGAATAATTATTTTGTAGTTAAAAATGTATAAAATGTTCAACTTTTATATCTAAGGATTGAAAATTTCAAACAAGATTCCATGTAAGTAGTTTATTCTGTTACCAAAAATTCTAAAAAATACATAGGCACAGTTTATTTTTATAGTCATTTTAAGTTCAAATTTTTATGAAATTAGATAAAAAAAAACATAGAATAGCTATTTTAGTTATTTTGTTGTCATTGTATAATATTATTAGTGGGTACTTGAAATTTCTGAAGTACACTATTATATATCTACTATAATATCAGGGTTTGTTGTCAATGTATATAAAGCGTTATAAGTACCTAATGGATATTGTAATATGATTAATTTGGTATTTATTATAAGTACCTATTATAGGTCAATTTTTTTAAATACCATAGATAAGTATATAATATGTCTTATAGTTTATACCTAGACTGACATACCGTCTCCGCTCAGAATCGTTTTTCTTATACAATGATATTATATCATTGAATTCAAATTTAATACCATTCATTATACAGTGATTCACTTGTAAACTACTGTACATCAGAGCACCTTTTTTTTTTGTTAAGACTAGGTACCAGTTTGAATATTTAACAATTTAATAATTGCTTTTGAATTTGATTCAAGTAGTTCAGTTGATCAAAAATATAAATCTATAATTTATATGTATGAAAATATTTGAAAATATTAGACAATAGGCAAAGTAATAATTGCATATTAAATAATAAAATATTATTATTAAATAAAAGGGGAAATTTCCGCATTAAAAATATATCTGGGGGGTCCACGATCCTGTCGGCAGTCTGTATACCTTAGTTATAAATAAAGTTTGTATTTACTATAATTTAATACAATTATATTAGACATAACACTAAATGATATTTTTAATGATAAAATAATGCATAATATGTTAAAAAATCAGCCATACCCGGGGGGGGGGGCCCATGACAAAATCATTTGACCACCACTGGCCTACATGAAAGTTTATATAAACACGCACTTTTGGAAAATATACTACGGTTAACACGGTTAATGTTGTTTATCTGTGATTGCTACCATCGCCTAGAGTACCAGACCATTTTAACAGAAATATAGTTTAACTAGATCTAATTTCATATGGTAATAAAATATTACCTTCTAAGTAATAACATGGTATACCTTGTGGTAAACCCGGCTAAACCTTTCGATACCTAGACCAAAAAAACATGACGCTAACAATCCGGGATAGGACTAAGATACGTTCACATATAAGTGAACAGTGCAGAAACCCTCCTTAACCAGTGTTCAATTTTAGGCAGTTATATCCACGCATTTATAAGAGCCGCTAAATCGTTCAACCACTTGTAGCCCACTTTCATTATTACGCATATATTTTTATATATTATTATATTATATTTAATCAAAGTTTTCTAATAATAAATATCACTGTAGGACGCAAGCCCAGATTAAGATAATTTTGGACCCTGGGCCAAATAGTAATAATACAGTCGATTCCGCTTTATTGGGACACATCGGTTGGGTGTTATTTTGTCCCAATAAAGCGGTTGTCCCAATAATCCGAAATACAAAAACCAACATATAAATTTGTTGAAAAACTGATTTGTTTTATATATTTTTATTATTACAAATTACAAACAATGTATTATAGAAATTATTTGATAGTACAAAAAGAAAAACATGATATAACCTAATTATTTATAAAAATACTTACATATAAAGTAGGTACATATTACATATTTTTTATTTTTTTATTATGTATTTTATCTTATTTAAAAAAACTGTTGATTTCGGTACTCCTAAAATTTCCGAAAGACGACGTGTATTACAGCCTGGTAGCTGTAATTTAATTTTGTCCAGAATTTCTAATTTTTGAGCAAACGATAAATCTTTACGTACACGAGCCATCGTTGCTACACGCGACAAACACGACTGATGCACCATTGCACCAAATAACATTTAACAACTATCACATTTGAACATACGATAAAAGATAAGATAAAATAAAGTTAAATAAGATAAAATGTAATGTAATGATCGATTACGAGAGTCCGTCACGATTGTTGAACTATTGAATTATTAATATACTCGATAAAAATGTCCCAATTATCCGGATTCGTGGCCCAAATAAGCGGCGAATGTTTACCCTACAAGTATACATTTGTTTTTGTAATTGAAGAATTGTCCCTATTAAGCGGTTGTCCTTATTAACCGGTGTCTCTATTAAGCGGAATCGACTGTATATCCTTTATCCATATATTATGTATATAGGAAACGTACCATCCGCAAGTGGCCCACTATTGTTCAATATCCGTCGTGGACTCGGGACCATGCCCCTTCCCCTTAATCCAGGCTCGGCAGGATGTCTGGTAAATAATAAGTGGTAACCTATATAGCAGTAGTCTCCAAATGGCAGTGAGGACGAACTTTTTTTGATTTCGCATCACTTTCTTCGGATGAACATTAAATACATTTTGATGACCCCCAAAAACATAATAAATTCGTAAAGTGGAGGCCTTACAAAAATATAAATTAGGGATCCTTGCAACGATATAGGTTATCAATGCTACCAAAATCTAAATGTCATATTTAATTTTGTACAAAGTTTAAAAAAAATAAGTAGTTATATTTTCTCTAAAAAATTACAATTTTACATCACAATAAACACAAAATTTCTACCAGAAGGAGTTCTTCGAATTCAACATCTTTTGGCAAATTTAAAATTTGTCTATTTTGCTAAAAACTAAAAAGCGATAGTATGTGGAATCTCCTTAAACTTAATGAATGATTTAAAAAAGAAATAACCAAGTTAACTTTTATACTATAGTACCTATACCTACCTATTATACTGCCCATCTTTGACTTAAGCCCCGTGACCTTCCACCCAACCCTAGAGCCCGCCCCTGCGTACCTATATATTATTTAGACATATTAATAATATTTCAATTTTGATCTTAGGAACTGGACCCGAAAAACCGAAGTCCGATCAGAAGTGTGGCCACCGTGGCCGCGGCACCGCAGTACCCGACTTTCTGCAATGGCCGCGCAATCGCACTTTACATCGACAAGTTCTCACGGTTCTTTTTCCCGTTTTCGTTTTTTATCCTCAACGTCGCCTATTGGACATCGTTTTTGTAAGTGAGGTGCCTAGCCTACGGATTTTTGTCTTGTCCGACTTAATATGACGGATAATACTCGTCACACGACACATTCTTGTTAAAAGACGTATGCATACATCATCGCTGATGTGCATTATTGCCGCCGTCAATATACCTAACGACAATGCAAAATGTGTACATTTCACTATTACTGTTACTTCTCATACGTGTCTTTGGAATATAGTAGGTATATACATTATATATATAGAAGCAATAGAAATGACGCGAAATTGACATTTTTTAGAGGCAACCTAGTTTAATATTCGGATTCTATCCAGCTGAAAACCCTGATAAATGCATTATTAATTTACTGCCAAATTTTTTAACTAAGTACGAGTAGTAATTAATAAAATATTAGTAAACACTGAATTAGCCCCCCCCCCCATTATTAACCCTTACAAAACTCAGAGGCTACCTTCAGCCCCTTAGCCACGCCTCTATTAAATAAGTGTACTCTTCCCTTCCCTTACCTACCTAAAACTATGCTGTACTAATGAAATTATTATTTTTTTTTTTTTAGTAAAACATATCATATTATATTAAGTTGCTGTAATAGTATAATATTATTGTATAATTGATTGATATATTAATTATCATTTGCCTATACCTATATTATATACGTTTGTTTAATGATTTATAATAAAATTGTGTGTGATTGAATTTTAGGTATATATTATATATATATTATATAGCCGTATAGGAAAGCTTTAAGTTAAATAATATTATTTTCCATTGATATTGATGATGTACAAATCGATATGCAGTATAGGTTAATCGTTTTGATGACCGTTTATAACGACATTGAAAAGCCCGAATATAATGCTCAATTTATCTAAGAAATCGTAGGTAACATCAACTAATAATTCGTACAAGCATAGACAGACGTCGGAAGTTATAAAATATGTTAAAATCGACAAAATATGCACGTGAAAAATCTTAAAAACCTATCGAAAAAAATAATTTAAAACATGTTAGTTATTAATGGGTTACTAACAGTGTCGGCCTGGCCAGGGCCGCGGGGCCGCGAACGCGGCCGAGGCCCTGAGCTTTTTTTTTTTTTAGTTTATAATTAGTGGCCAGGACCACCACCCCAACGTAGAGTAGTCAACAAAGCGTCAAATATACGGTACAATTAAATGTACGACGATGAACGAGGGAGTATCGATCACTGCGGCCCACTGGCTGCAGGGGCCCCAGCCTAAGTCTTAACTAAAAATATTGTTTTTGCATATTAGATTTGGATAACAATTTTTACAATCAATATGACCAGTGACCACCCCAATTTTTATTCACAAAAATAATCGTAGAAAACTTTTAATAAAACTTTAATAGAGCCCTTCATTGAAAGTGACAATTGGCCTAGTTGCGCTACTGACGAAGTGTATAAACGGGGCCGGTTTAGAGAGAGCCCACGGGGCCCGGGGCCCCACAAGATTCAATTAATAAGAGGCCCCACGAGATAATTACCTTTCAGCTTATGCAGTAAGTTATATGTCAACCTTATATATGGCCAGACGATGGGCGCTAGGGCCCCCACCATCCTAAATCCGGCCCTGTGTATATGTTATAGAATTTGAGTGTAGTGTACAATCACTACAAACACGTAGATACTGACTACTATCTAGTACGATATAATAGAATCTATATTTTGTCATGGTGTATACGTGTGCGGTGCGCTGTTTACTCGTATTAGGTGTAGTACAAATGTAATGATAAGGCCTAGTTCACATGAGAGCATTAAACGCGCGTTTGGCTAACGCGCGTTTAGAAAATTTACACAAGATGAATGACGACGCGAGTTAACGCCTTGCAACGCGTCGGAAAGCTGTAAACGCGCGTTAAAATACAGCTGCATTCATTATTGTAAACGCGCGTTTGGCTAACGCGCGTTTAACGCTCTTCATGTGAACCTAGCCTAAACGAGATGATTTGAACGCACATAAGATTTTTTGTACAACAAAATTGTCGGGAAAATCGTAACGAGTACAAATACAATAAGTCAATAACGTCTATGTGTGGGGCCCCTGTATGGCCGTACAATAGGTTTGATAAATTGTCTAATCAATTATTATCATTAGCGCTATATCGAAATAAAGAAGTAAGAACAATTAAGTTAAGTAATTAAAGAACTTTCATTTCATTCAAACTCATTTCATAATTTATTTACAGTTTATAAATATGTATTTATTTTACCCTCTACTCAAGTGACTTGTGAAAGGGTATTTTCTAAACTGAAACTTGTGAAGTCTAAAATCAGATCAACAATAAGTCAACAACATTTAATGCTTATTGCAATTGAAAAAGATATCAGGATTCAGAAAACTCAAATTATTGATACTATAGCTACCTAACTACCTAAGTCATCTAAAATGTTACATGAATTGCTCATTTAGTATTTAAGTTTTTTATATTTAGTTATTACTTTCTTTAAAAATAATGTTGTGTCAACTTTTGTTCATTGTTCGTCTTCTTTATTATATTTTGGATGATATCTTTTTCGTAATTTGAATTACATTTTGTTTAGTAACTTATTAAAATCATGTGTATTACTAAGCACGTCAGAAGTTAATACTTGGTTTTAGACTTTAGTAGAGAATTGTAAAAGTGGAAAAATTTTAATCGAGCGACTATTTGGTGAGTGGGGGGAGGGAGGTAAAAGTCAGAGTTAATAATTGGCGTTTAACGGTCAGCATCAAACGGTGCTGTTCAATATACACTATACAGGTTTCACTTTAATCACACAACTATAGTCATTTTTATTTTTATTCATAAGAAAAAAACTGAATTCTGACATAATATATCATAAGTTAGTTTACAAAAAATAATTAATTTACACATTGGCTGATTGAGCGGGGGGGGGGGGGGGGGGGGGGGGGGGGGATATACAATAACTCTAGGAACGAAATTGTTCATATATAGTAAATGAAGAAAAAAAATAGAGGCCCCAGAGAAAAATTGCGGCCGAGGCCTTTTATATGCCAGGCCGACACTGGTTACTAACCTACCTCTATATCAGTAATAAGTTATATAAAAAATAAAAACTGTACATAATAATATCTAGGTATTATTATTTAAGAAATATGGTAGAAAACTAATTGGACAAAATGAATAATACGAGCATTCATAGTACCTGCAGCATATCAGGTAGGTAATCCATTAAGACACTCATCAGTTATCATTATTTCAGAAAACATTAACGTTTTAAAAACTTTTTGTTTTACATAATTTTAAGTCGTTACAAAAGATGTTATTATTTTTTATTGTTGTAATTTTTCTAAGTTCATAACTCTTTAAAATCAAGACATACTTTTTTAATTTTTTATTCCTAAGCAGAATATTATTTGGAGTATTTTTATCTATAAAAATGAAATTTCTGAAAAGTAATTTAATAGTTAATCTGATGAGTAGTGGAACACTTGGGGTATCATCAATACTTTAAATCGTAAGCTATAAATCGTAAGCTACTCATCTAAAATTCGATTTTTATGTATTGATGTACTACAACCTACTCTGAAAAATATTCAGATTTGGATTAAGAAATTGAAAAACGTTGACAATGAAACAATAGTAAAGAAAATATTTTTCTTTTAGAAAAATGTTCCTTTTTAACAACTTATAAAATAGAACAAATCATTTTGAACAATTTAAAAAATGGATGGTACAGGTTTGTTATAGGGGCACCACGGCGAGTGAAAACTTTAAAGCCCCGCCACTCAGGTTTGTTATAGCCCCGTGGCCCCCGCCATCCGTATAACAATAAATACATCGTACAAATATAAAATGAGTTTATTTGTTGATTCCCATAGTAATTACTAATAATAATTCGATGACAGATAAATGTATGTAATATTAAAAAATTAAAATTAAAAAATGATAGTAATAAATATACCGTATAAGTAGGTATAAAACAATGATAAATTAAAAAATGTATAAAAATGTTTATGGTTTCTCTTATGATCACTAAATTGTTAAGTTTTGATCGCCACATAAATTCTGCCCTGTGAGACTCTAAAAAATGTTTATCAGTTCATCTACGTCTTTTGTTGCCCAATTTAGCCGACCATCACATTCTCTCGACATTTTGTGTGTGGGCTCCTGAGTTAGGGTCCACCATATTGTATCTATGATTAACTTGATTATGTTGAAATCCATGTTGTTACAAATTAGCATAAGCTTTCCACCTGTCAGAAAAAATTGTTGAACCATGTCTAATATATCGGTTAATGATAGGTATCAATGTAACTTCTGATCTATTTGGCGCACTAACTATGAAATATTTTTTGATTATTGATTATTAGGTACCTCATAGTAACGGTACACATTATTTCATATTTATACTATGTATTTATTATTATATAACAAACCTTAGTGGCGGGGCTTTAAAGTTTTCACTCGCCGTGGAGGGGCTATAAACAAACCAGTACCAAATGGATTTCTACTGTGACCATAAGATTTCATTGTGCAAACCAGTGTCATAATAAATGGTTTCTTTTCTAAAATTGTTTTGTACTTTAAAATATGTACCTACCTACCTATAGTAAACGTGTGTTTACAAAGCACTATGGTACACGGATTATCATTTCTAACTCATCTTTACTCTAATATTACTTATTGTTATGTTACTAGAATAATATAATAATTAATAATAATATTAATGTATACATCATTCTATATTAAGTAACTACTATTTTAATGAAGAAGTGAATAATGGATGATTAATAATGTAGTGAAAATATATTGTAACGTTTATTAATTAAAATTGTGTACACAAATGAAACAATTATTTAATGATAATAAATTTCTTACTTAAGTAATAAATCCAGTTTTTAAAATTTAACTTCTCTGTGTAAGCGTAATACTATAAATAGTAAGTGCGATTCTGTACTTTATATTATAGTATATTAATTTAATATTATTTAATATAGTATTATATAAACACAATACAGGTATACAATAATAGGTACATGGGTAAATCAGTATGAGCAGGCCCAGCTTAAACATCCATACATACGTACAGACTAAAGGCAGCTAGACAAACCAAAATGTTACAACCTTTTTCTCCGATAATTTTTATACAATTATATGACTTCTCTCGAAATGGTTTTCCAAATTCAGTAAGTTGTCATTATATTAGATTTATAACAATAAAACCTCATACCTCTGCACTCCACTAAGATATTATCAGCTATGGTGAACAAAGTAATACTTAGTCATTTGTACAGATTTATCCATAAAATAATATGCAAAATGTTAATATATTAACTATAAAAGTATTAAAATAGATATTTTGAGTTTGTGCCTTTGATTGCTACAAAGAATACAAATTATTTCTTGACAATCCATAAATGATCCATGTTAACATATTTTTGGAATAACCAATGGTCAGAATTATAATAGTAATGTAATAAAATGTAAAAGAAGATGATAGAACAGATGACAAATGTTGGTATTCAGTTTACAAAGCTATAACTAATTAGTTTTGTATAAATTAATGTGTGTTTGTCTATAAATTATTTCAACAAACAAATACCTATGTTTATATTATTATATAGGGTCATAGGTATAGATTAACTTTAAATTTGTAGTGTTATACCTCTTAGTTTATAATACCAATGCATTACAACAAACTCCCTCCCAGCCACCCATATTTTTAACAATTGATAAGCTACAATACAAAATGGTAGAAGCTGTAATAAATATTATTCAATATAATAAGATATTGAATTTAAACTATAAATTCCAAATGGTCTATACAACTTTTAAACACCAGAAGCTAAAAGCTGCTGCTTGAATATTGAACATCAGGACGGAAAAATTTAGCAAACATAAATTGTCGTAGCTTTGAATATAATATATAATTTTCCTCTTTGAATAACATTATTTTAAAAATTAAACAAGAAAGTCATATTATAAGAACATTCCTGTTTAGTAATTAAATTAAATTAAAATAATAATTAAATAAAAATAATAATAATAATAATAATAATAATAAATAAATAATAAAATATTAATGATAAAAGTAATAATAATATAATCATTTAATAATAGTTAATAATTGACATAACGGATAATGACGAAAAATTTGTTTTTGTGAGCATGAAATATATAAAACCAAAATAAATTTAAATATATTGGTATACAATTATAATGACCTATGATAATTCACTAGATTTTAATACAAGCCGCGATAGATATTTTATTTTATTGAAATACATAATATACATTATATTTTATATTTTTAACTAAATATTGCACGTTTCTATGCATTTTTCTTAATTACAAAAACAAATGTATTAGAAAAAAATCTACCATGAACCAAAAACAAAGTTTTGTTAACGGCATTCATTACAATTATACAACATATAAATCACATAACCTTCACCAAAATTATTTTTCCTAATTAATACAGCAATATATTGTACAGTTTTATTTAAGTTTAGACAAGCATATTATACACATATATTTAAATATGTATTATGTATGTATATATATATATATATATATATATGTGTGTTTGTAAATATGTTAATATATAGTATTATGTAATTAGTTAACAGAAAATGCTTTTGTGTACTTAAAATATTTGACTTAACAAATACACATCTGTACAGTGTACATATACAAAAAAAGTATAATAGTGGTAAGAATTATCTAATTTTTCATTTCATTAATATCCATAACATCAATATTGTTTTTCTAGAAAACAGTCAACAACGTTTGAAATTTATGTAAAAACATAAATTTTTGATAATAAATTTACAATATCATAATAATGTTAACAAGTTTAATTTAAGTTTTTTTCGAAAAATAATAATTAATAACATACTAACGGTATGAATGAAAATTGTAATACTTAAAGGGTAACATAAACAAATGCAGCATTATATATATATTTCTTTATAAGCAGAACAGTAATTGAAGATAATTCAGGAATAAGAACTTTAAGGATATGAATACATAACTTTTGAAACAAAATTATAAATTCAATAATGGTACAGATTTTAAATGTATGTAAGTAATTACATTTAAACTTATACTAAGATAACTTAAAAGCATTTAAAAGGTAAAATTTAGAATCAATACTTAAAATATTGAACTCAAAATAGACGTTCATAGGTATCAAGAAAAAAAAAATAAAATAGATCATAATTAAAATTTTCATAACACATAATTACTATTGACTATATTCCATAGTCTAAGTTTTTACACTTTAATTTGTGCTTCAAATCTATTAAATACATTATTGGCTTTCGGTTATTATTTCTTACTGAATAAAATATAAATTGTAAATAAAAAAAAAATAATGATAAATTTTGATTAAAATTGATAAATTAAATTAAATAACAAATAGTTATAAAACATATAGTTAATGAAATTGACCTAATTTTAAATTCATTAACATTTGCAATGTTATAAAATATGGATTTTTATTATTTTTAAGTTTAAAAACTGAAGGTGTGTACTTTATTTTATGTTCTAAAATCCAAAAAAGTAATAAAATACATTTGGAACTTTTAACTTTAGCATAAAATGTATTAATCTAAAAATGAATATATTTGTTTACTTTCCAAATCTAAGCTTAATTTCATAATAAAGTTTTGTTTACACTCAACAAAATTAATAAATAAAAATTAAAAATACAAAAATAAAAATTATACCTCAATAAATTTACAAATAAAAGGAAAACTATATTGAATACTAAGCGAGCAATTTCACATTTTGTTTTGTACAATTTTTTCCCAACACCTTGGTTAAAAGGTTCAATTTTTTTCTAACTCATTGGTGGAAAGATAAAATTAATAAAACAAATTATGATTCTTTTCTCATAATATTTAAATATTTCAGCAAGCGTAAGGACTTACCAATTAAGTCTTTTGCATCATGAAAATAAAACAATGACTATTAATTGTTTGATTGGTCATTGAGTTTTAAACTCTTTAGCAATGCTATAAGAAACAATTTTATTCCAATCAATTTTTGTTCTAGTGACTGGTAACTGACGACGGAGTGCCTTAAAAGTTGTTTCTGACATAGTTTGATAATTTTCTGTAATAGCTATCTGGTACTCATTTTCAGCATCTTCTGCTATTTTCAAAACTTCTTTAACAGCTAACTCTTCAGTCTTAATTAAATAATATAATGTTAAAACAATATATTAGATATTATGGGTATAAATAATTAAATCTTACTGTTAATGCAATTGATTCCTTTATTTCTTTAGATGCTACAAGTTGAACATTACCATTTTCATAATAATGAACATGAATTCGTAAAAATCCAAAAACATCTATATTAGTTGGTCCAACAGTAAGAGTCCACTGAGACCTCCAACGACCATTCCTTTTAATCCGATAAAAAAATATATATAAATAATGTATTGCATTAATCATATTAAATTAACAAACCAAAAATTTTTTGCTTGGAATTCATGATCCTCAATGCAAGCTGTTATAACAGTGGAAGAACCTTCTTGTTTTGCAAATACACTGCATGTACCGTGTTTATAATGTAATGACGTATATGAAGTAAATTCTGTTTCAAATACTGAACGCCAAGCTTCTGTCTCTGAATCTGGCTCCCAATTCTGTAATTTAATTTTTTTTAAATCTTTTCTTTAAAGTTGTATAACATGTTGTTAAGTATCAACACTGAATCAAGCAAATGGAAATATATATTTAATTTTATAACAATACTAGCTGATCCCCGTGCACTTTGTTTCCCATTAAAAATACCAACTCTATAATGAATAATGTTTTATTTTATAATTTACCGGTTACCATAACAACGATTTTAAACCAATTATTATTATTTTAACTTTATAACCCATGGCAACCATTTATAAACAACAATTTCCATCGGAAATCTCAAAATCCCAGCTTGAGCACCTCCTGGGGTTGGTCTTCTCCCTTTTAAAATTAGTCTATCTTCTGCCCAGAGGTCTAATCTAACTCTGTACCAAATGATCCCGTGCACTTCCTTTCCCGGTAACCAATAATAATTATTATAATAGCTTCAAAACCCATGGTAACCATAGTAACCTTCATAACCGATGGACATTATCTATGGATATTATCATGGACATTAAAATAGAAATTATCTATGGACATTACCATAGACATTATCTATGGACACCACACAGAAAGACAGACAGACATTAATTTTTATATATATAGACTATAACACTGACCATAGGCGCAAATAGTTTTTGGGATTTGGGAGGCTAAAGCCTTACTTTGATAATATTGAATAAGCTTAAAACAAAATGTAGGAAATGTTTGGGGGGCGGAGTAAAGCCTAAAGCCCCCCCCCCTATTTGCGCCTATGACACTGACTTATCAATATTAAAGTTATTTTCTAATATTTATTTATATTTTAAGAATACTGCACTTATTGAAATTGTATGTACAATCTTATATTTTTAAATATCTAATTAAAAAAACATCACTTTTATTGTTAGATTACAGTTGTTTTTTTAAAAGATTCTTTTAATAAGTAAATAATAGTTGGCCAATTCTATAGACAAGAAAAAAACATAAACAAATTTAATTAACAATACAATATTTATAAGATCACATTTAAAAAGCACTTTTGATACTTAATTTTAGTAACTAGCAGGTACCCAAGTATAAAACATACTGCTCAACACACTTACCTCATAGTTTGATGGTTCTTTTCTTAAATGATCAAACTTAAATGATTGTTTAGATCTAGGATCATAAAATCTACTAGATCCTAGATCATTAAATTGAGTAATAAGCACCGGATATTCACTGTTTTCTATCTTAACAGGTAATGTTTGTTCTTTATTGTATAAAGCAAATGCCCTGAAATCAAAATAAAATCAAAACATATTCATAATATAATATCATTTATAGAATCATTTCATCATAAAAAATAATTATTTGAGTACTTACCAACACGTTCCTTCTTTAAGAAGTGCATCATTGTTAACTAAACCTCGGACATCTAAAATTTAAAAAAAAAAACATCAAAATAAATTATGGGCAAAAATAAAATATTAACTTAAATATTTTACCATTGAATACTTCATTAAATTCGCCAGGAGGTGAATGTAGTATGAAATCCGAAACAATCCTGACCTATAAATAACAATATTTTGTTAGTTCAAAATATATACAGAAAATAAAGGTTGTATACACATAATTATATATACTTTAATATTTATCTTAAATTATAATAGGTACATGCTTTCCTCAAGAAACTTGATGATCAATCAGATTAGAAATCTGATGTTTTTTTAATGTTCTTTTATCAATTTAAAAAATCATATTCATCCTTGATGAAATCTACAAAATAGGGTGTGGTTTAAGAGATGAATGGCATTGACAAGGTTTATTATGAATAATAAATTCATTATTTAAATTTTAAATTTTATCAATTGAATTTTACGGTTTTTCCTTTGTCATATTTTCATATTTTGTACTTTTTGGCATGATAACTATTTTGTTCTATAAGGTAGACTTCAATACACTAAAATAGTTACATGCTCTATAAGATGTAAAATTTTATGTTCTATAATATGCCCAATAAAATGTAATTATATGATTAAAAAATATGTGGGGCAGCGACAAAAAAAAATTTATTAAATCAGGAATTAAAAGTATACAAGTTTAAATTAAAATCCATATTAAAGTATAGACCAAGAGACAACTTTTGATATGCTTACGGACCCATACAATAATTATTAACTGAGATATACATTGTCAAAGTTCAAAACTGCCCCAAGTAGGCCACTTCTACGGTTCCTATCTGCCCTATCAAATGGCTCACTTGATGTGTCTGATCTCCTTTCAGGCATACCATTCAGAATCCCAAGCCATTCATCTAAAACCCAGTCTCAATTTTATATTCCAACACATAAAACATCCTACGCACATAACCACATACTACATTCAATGCTTAGAGCTGCTCATTTCAGTTTAATTACTTAGGCCACGTCCATCATTTTTAAATCGTCTTCTATCATATATCAACAGTATATTTTTTTTTATTATATTTTTTTTTTTTACTTACCAATATTTAAGTATTGTATATAATATTATATATTAACTAATTTCTTTTAATATTTTATTTCTAATCATACCATTAATTAATTTGTACTTTTTTGTATCTATGTTAAACTGCTGTTTGATGTGCATAAACTAATAATAGTAATAATAATAGCATTAAGAGGATATAACTCACAAAATTGCATAACATACCAAAATTGTGTTCAGACATTCCAATTTTATGTTATAAGCTTAAATATTTGAGTGAATTGACCTAGTATAGGTAGAGTATCAAACTTAAAGGTATCAGTAGTATTTATAGTAGGCATTTCTGCAGTAGAAGTGAGAAGGAACTAGTTAACCAGATTACAAGATAAATGAAGGGTGGGTGTTGGCTAGATGCATTAAACTGTCAATATCTAAACAACTAGCTATTTATAGAATCATTATTAAGCCACCATCTACTTGATGAAATACATCTTGTTATCAGTTTGGTAGTCAGGTACAAATTTTATACCTGCAAGACCCATCATTGTTTTAACTAGTTGTGACTAATACACATAAAATGTACTAGAAATAACCCTTTTATATTATATTATAATTGTTTATTATATGAATGGTTTGTAATGAATTAATATTAATAAGGTCAGTATTCTAGAGTTCTAAGAATATATATGGATAAGGAAAAATATTAAATTATAGACACTATATTTGAAATTATAAGTTAGTTTATTTTTTTAGAAAATTATACCTATAATACCTATTATGTAATTATATAATTATTTTGAAATTATTTTGATGATATTGAATTTAAGGTACATTAGAGGATTCCATCCAAACCATTAAACGACTCACACTACAGTCCTCACTTCCATGATAAACCTGTGCATGACTATACTAGTTACAGTGCATCCAGTGAGAGAACACAACTGGGCAGCGACCAAAACTTGTCGATTGCTGCTCATTCCTGCATGGAGGTGTGCTCGCCAGCGACCGCCGCATGATGGGAGACATGCACCTAAAGACATGTGCAAACTAGTTGCATTCTCTCAATGGACGCAGTATATACATATTAGTTGATTAGAAAAAATGAGTGCCTAATTTCAGAGTTCTAAAGTGAAGAATACGTCATAAAATCTTTTATTAACCCAACCTAACATTATGGTATCTTAAAATACATAAGTTACAAACTCATTAATAGTTAAAATATACCTTATATTATTATTACCAATTTCATTTATTTAACATAAAATATTTTATTTTATTAATAAGTTTATAACATAATATATGTTAAATTAGTTTTACATTTAGAAAAAACCTTATATTATTTTATATTACAATTTAAAGCTTTATTGTATTATAGTTGGGCATCTATTTTTTTAATCTAAAACAAAACAAAACAAAAAATATGACTGAAAACATAATGAAAAAAAATGTAAATAGTTATCTTCAGTTAAATACTAGTAAGTAGGTATGTAATTATTATTACTATTATTTTTTTTATTAATGAGTAATGACTAATGAGTAAACAATACCTACAACTATTCCAGTATTAACAATACAGCTATAATTATTAAATTTAAGGTTAAAAAAATAGACGTGAATACACGTGCGTATATTATGATTAATAATACACAAACGTATAAATAAGTATTTTTTCTGATAATTACTATTAAATGGTACATGCCTATTTACAATGTGTAACTCTTAAACACATTTTTAAAATCTCAGGAAAATGTAAAATATTATTTACAACTCTTTACTACTTTACCTTAATAGATAAATGAGAATAATATTTATTTTATTATAAAAGTATTATTTTTTATTAGGTAGGTACCTAACAAGATACAGTGTATCAGGAAGACCTGACAAATTAAATAACTTTTACATTAAACTCTACATCAATATTATATATACACAAGAATAATCGGTGGAATAATAGTATTATTATGTTGAGAAATATAAGAATAAAAATAATATTTTTAAAAAAATGTATAATTGATTGTACCTAAACGTATAATACCTATAACATTTTTTATTTTTCAATACTGAAAATAAAAATGTTTGATATAAGACTCATTAATTTGAAAAGTAATAACTTTGGAAAAAAATATTTAGATTTTACCAAGTACCTACTTAAAAATTCTCATGAAATATTTTTCAAAAGTTAATACTTTTTGAATTTAAAATGTTTTTTACAACTGGATCAATTTTACTTAACAAAAATAAAGAGATTCTGAAAATTGTAAAAAAATTAATTATATGAATTAAATAGGTAAATGTTTTTACAAACAATATTTTTCTTAAAACCAGATTTACAAATTGCCTATTTTAAAGTTTCAAAAAAAAAGTAGTTAACAGATTTAAATAATTTTTGATCAGTTTAAAAAAATGAATATAAAAAATCTCATAAAAAATGTTACACAAGGTGTTATCTTATATGTGTAACGCAAGGGTCTGTAAATTATATGAAAAAAAAATAATTGAAAGATTGAAAAGAACAAGAGTTAATTTATTTGTCAAGTGTACCTGTTACACTCTGTATAGTTGTTATATAGAACATAGGTTATATAGGTAGGTAATTTTAGTTTTTTTCCTGATAATCATTAAATTTGCATGTATATAAGTCAGATATTCTATACTATACTAGGTAAGGAACTCGTGTCATCAAATGAATATCTGTTCACCATTTTCTTGGTTAGAAAATTGACACGGACGTGTAAATAATATTATGTGTAAAACCATCGGTATTTAGGTGTGTTACCTACTTAAATAGTTTACAATGAAATATACACATGGACATTTTTCTAATCCAAAACATGGCGAACAGTCTCCAATTATTTTGTGTGCGTTTTATTCTGAGTTCCTAAACTAATATTCCAATATAGGTAATACAGAAAACAGTACAAACTAATTGAGTACAGGGTACAATAAAAAAATATTCCAGTTGAGTCCGCAATTGGAAAAAAACCATACTAATTGATTCCTTGGATTATGTCAAATAAAATATAAAATCAACCGTTTACATATACAAAAGTGATTAGGTAGGTGATATGTTCATATACCTAATGTTTACGACTTTTGTCAGATAAAAATAATAATAATATAATAACATGATAAACCTAGGTGTAGGCCAGGAACTTTGGATTTAATTTGAATTATTATTTTATATTTTAAACGACTGAATTATACATAATACACATATGCATATTATAGTGTTTATTATGCATATTACACACACATTAATCAAATGTATTGTTCAAAAGAAACATAACTATACATCAGTATAGCTATTGCCAAGGACTCAATTTGTTTGAATAGGTTTCACTGGGACTCTTATTTGTAACCATCCATAAAAATGTGTGATAGGTACACACGCCATACCTATTACAAGCATATCTGAGCGGGTTCACAGTAGGACAGTCCTTCTTCTATTTAAAATATATATTTATGCATACTCTTTTTAATTATATCATAATTAATAAGACATTTAAATACTCAGGTACGCACATTTTTTTGTAACACTTTTGCATTCCCCTCTAATTTTTTCCTAGTTTACAACCCGGTACCTACATGATTTTATAAATAGAGTAATCTCTGCACACAAGTCACTTAATGTGTACACCACGGTTTTCAGGGCCAAACTGTGCTGCACAGAACGTACAAAAAACTCAATGGTCTCGTTAACGTCTGACGGTATACCATCACTCATCACAGACCACAGTGTACCTACACATAGTAGCTGAGGGCAAAACATTACCTTTTCCTGGTCCGAGATGAGTTCCTCTCCTTCCATGGCCATGGCGATTGGTCTCTTAAATAGGGCGACGGGCAACACACGGTCGTAAAAAATAACGCTGGACACCTCCAACTGATGATGGAAAAACTAAAACGGACAGGAACCGCGACGGTTAGTTGTATAAGTGCACAGAGGCGGACGTGAAACAACTACGCGAAATAACCTAATTTCACACGGTTACTACGCTACGGTCACCGGACACCGAGTTTGTTGATCAATTATCGGTTATCACCACTCCGGCGGAAACGATATAAAATAATAATAATAATAATAATAATATAAAGATGATAATGCGACGTTACACGTACGAACGCGATAAACGTGTGCGTGATAATATTACGTTAATAATAATAAATTAACGTAGAACTCGGGGCACGACAACTGGTAAGTAGTCGTAGTATTTCATGGACATAAAACGGTCCTCTACTCCTCTATCACTCGCCACTGATAGCAAGAGCGGACGTCGTCGGTCGGTGCGGACGATAGCGAATGCCCGAATAGCGGTGCGATTGATCACCCGGCGTCGTTGGTTGGGCGTGTGGGAGGGGCGGATGGGGGTAAGGATGAAATAGATCCAACGACGAATTCAGATTTATTATTATTAATATACCACGGTGTCCGACGCGAAGCGACAACGTGCGGGACGATCGTACGTTACGCTTACGACTTACGGTCTACGGAACGCGATACGTCTCTCACCGACTGTGGAAAACGATCTCGTCGGCGGCAGGTTTTTTCCTCCCACCCCACCCCACCGTTGGCTGACGACCGAAATATAATATAATATAATTGTTGTTGTGGCTGTGCCAACGAAAGGAGTAGACGCGCACGCGCAAGCGACCGCATTGTTGGTCTGTTATCACGTCATTACGTCATTGTCGTCGTTGCACATCATAGAGTTTAACTCTACGTTGCACATCGACTGCTGCAGGCAGTAGTTGCGGCAAAGCTGATATACAGTAGCAAGTCAGAGCTTAGAGATTGTTCTATGGCGACTGGCGAGGGGCAGCCTGCAAGCGCGGTCGCCTGACGCTGCAGCAATCCGCGCGGGTGCTGGGTGGCAGTAGTGGCCATTAACGACTTTGTCGTCTCAATGCGCCGGTTGGAAAAGCGGATGGGCACGAGACGTGTGAAGGTTGACCGCGAAAAAAACAACTATTCCGAACCGCGGGGCACTGAGTCAGACTTTTTGTGCAAATGTCCCACAGACATTGTCTGACGACTGACACTCGTGAGTCCCGACTGCTCCTACAACGTTTATCGTATTATTATTACTACACTATTGTTATATTATTTCAAACTGGTTTGTCGGGAAAAAGTTATTTTTTTCCCACATCCTGCAACAATAATAATAATTATTGTGATGTTTGTGTGTCACTAACGTATTTTGTGGCTCATCGTGAGTCATTTCACATATTTTGCTGACGTACCTTTATTAAACTATTGTGGGTCAACGAACATTTTTTAAATTATTAGTTTTTTTTAATGTATGTACATTATACTACATTACTATTTGCTACTCACGGAGACACGCGACATAACTTAAAATAAACTATATTATAATTTATAACTATATTGCAATGTGATATAGGTACTTACTGACATATTATTGTTATAATATCGTGTAAATAGGTAGGTAGGGAAGGGAATATGTAGATGATATTGTATTTATTGTATTGTCACAATTTCACCTATCGATTTGTATATTTTGGTCGGTGAATCTTAATTCTTATTAAATATTAACTGTGTTGGATAAACTGCTACTTAGTACTTATTAAAAAATAATAAAATTACGTTACTTTTTAATCGTTACATGTAGGCGCCATGTCTACAGTGTATGTAGGCGCTTAGTCCCCCCCAAAAATAATTTGTTTGAAGTTAAAGCCCCCCTAAAAATTAGTAATATAAGCAATATCGTACTTTAGTATAGATTACATAGGTAATTGTATAAGGATAATGTTTTTATTATACCTATTAATTTAATAAGTAGGTATATCGTATAATATTATGTGGAAACTATGTGATATTCATTTTTTTAAGATAACATACCACGATTACTGACCAATACCCAATGCTATAAATCATAATACTAACAATATACATTATACAATATAATAAAAATATAATATTTTAATTGTGTTAACCTATATAATTATTGCATATTTGTGATTCGTACCTATGTAGGTATCATTCTATCAATAAAATTGTATAGGGGAAACCGGAGTAAGACGTAAAATGGGACAATCAATTTTGTTCCACAAGGCACACTTGTATTTTGCAGTACAATAATTACACTTCTGGTATTTTTAAATTTTAATCTCAAATTCTCCTCAGGCTACCTACCTATTTTAAACACATTTAATTGTATAAGAAAAACGGTTCTGAGCGGAGACGGTTTGTCAGTCTGGATATTGTTATTATTTATTATATACTGTAAGTTGAATTTATATTATAATAGGTATTATTATTTTTTATTCGTTTCTATGGTGATAAACAAAGCGTTAGAAATTAAAATCCCATTTTTAGAGGTTTTCGTAATTTGTCAGTGTTTTTTCCTGTGCAATTTTATAATTGTATTTTATTATTTTGTCTTTTTATATACATTGCTATTACAAATATTATGATAGGTAACGAAATTACCACGATCTTGTGCATTTAGATATGTCCAATGATAAAAGTGATCATTATTTTTAACTGAAATATTTTTTTGCTATAGATATTATACAGTTAATAAACATTTTAAATACGTACCTGTTGGCTGTTAAACGTTAATATTAACTTTAAACTATTTATGAATTTAGTTTTTAATTGAAAGAAATATTTACGATGCTTTTGAAATACCTACCAGCTACCTATAACCTATGTCCTAAAATCTAAATATGTACTTCTTTTCATTTGTATAAATATAAAAGAAAATATTATGTTGAATTATTAAAATTTCATAATGTTAAATAACAATTTTTAAATCTGAGAGCAACTATCTTGCGAGCAGTGGTGATTATGTTTGGTTATTTGTAACAATTTTTGCATTCCAAGTAAAATTCTGAAATGACGCAATTAGTTAATACTGGCGCGGCGTATCGAAGAATGGTGAAAATAGGTAGATTTATGTAATGAATAGATTAAAATTAATCTAAATATTTTAATAATTTCTTTGTGTATAGTAAATAAAATACATTTATATTATAGGTACTTATACAAATTTTAATTCATTGTAAAAAGTGATTCGACTGCGAGCTTTCCTACACTTTACTCAAGGTCATTTTTATATTATTTTATTATAGGTATACCATATCATATTTTCTTATGGTATAATATAATGTACATATTGTAAATTTTCAATAAACGCCATTTAATTAAAAAATATACGTATAGTGAAAACCGAAACATTTTCTATTAAATGTATACTTAAGTATAATCTAGACACGCGGTAGCGTGTCAAGCCAAGTTCAAGCTAACAGAACTGGCGAGCAGCACCGTGTGTAATATTACACGAACCATTTGGAGCCACTTTTGACCCCCTCATAACTCAAAAGCTATTCCACATAAACATGTCAAATTTGGCTCATATATTGAGACTAACGAGATACATATGTGCTCTAAATTTCATAAACACACTTCAAACCGTTATTTAGATATTAACGTCCGAAAATCGTCATTTTTATCACTGACTTACCTATAGATCAAAATTCTAACCCAGTTCCAGATGACCTAGAAAGTTCAAATTTGGCATACAGATAGGTAGTTAGGTAAATACAAAGGAAAAAATCAGAAACTTGAAAATTTTTAATTTAAAATTTTTTAATTTTTAATTTTTAATTTTTTAATCAATTGATTTTATTATAATTTTGCAATTATTTTATCTATTATGTTTAATTTTTCAATTTATTAATGAATTGCCTCTAATTTAATGTAATGTAATGTAATGTTGACTTCAATAACCTTTCCCGTATCGCCGCTCCAAAAATACGACTAGCCGAATATGTGTCGATATTGTCGACCCGTGCGCAGCAACATACTTTTTTTTCTATCTATGTATGTAATTAATATTATTTTTTTAAATATTACAATTAAAATAATTAAAAAATTATTCTTACAAATTATAAATTATCCACCCAACAGTAGAAACTACAGTCAATAAAATTATGATAATTAAAAATATACTCAAAAAGAGTTAAAATAATTGTATATTAATTTTACATAATATATTTTATACTCGTATACTCGTATGTAAAACGGAAAATATTTTATAATAAATATTATTATTAATATTAGTAGGTAACTGAATTATATTATATAGTAATAAACTTTATTTATAGAATACGTCATGGATAGGTTAGGTTAGGTTATAATAATTTACATACAAAAAGTAATGATATATTACCAAAAACATATATGTAAAATGAGAGCCAAGTTCAATACTATAATATATGCCTTGGTTATTGACTTCAACGACAAAAGAAGTGAGATCTAAATGGGTGCCAAGTTAGGATAATATATTGAAGCCTAAGGTCTGACTTGGCTACGAATTATATATTATAGCATTTGCAAGTTCTAAAGCTTTGAGTTCTTATTTTAATCTTCGGAAAATCATCTTCACTCTTCCATTACTGTTTTAGTAGGTACTTATAATAATAATTCGTATATGAAAAGTAGCCAAGTCACACCTTAGGCTTCAATATATTATCCTAACTTGGCACCCATTTAGATCTCACTTCTTTTGTCGTTGAAGTCAATAACCAAGGCATATATTATAGTATTGAACTTGGCTCTCATTTTACATATATGTTTTTGGTAATATTATGAGATACGCCAGATAATTATTATACGGTCTTACGAGCATAGTATAACTGTATAAATACTTATGAGATACCACGTTATGTATTTAAATCCTTAGCTATAAAAGTTGATCATTTTATAAATTTTTAACTACAAAATAATTATTACCTACATTTTAAATTTGATAAATTTTGTCAAAATTCGAACTTTAAATGATTATAAAA